GCCTGGTGGTTCAGTAAGTGGTCCAAGAGCATTGCTGGGCCAGAATAATGGCTGTGCTCTTAACAGTACACCCTTGGAGAGGCCACTTCACTCTTCTGAGCCTTGGTGTAGGTAATTCCTTGTAAAGTGAGGTGCAGAAGAACAGAAACTCTGATGACATATTGGTGGATGCCTGCCTCTGACATTTCTGTATTGTATGTGGTGAGTCACGTTTCTTCTCCATGCACCAACCCCACACCTCTGCTTCCCTTGTCCACAGTCTAGCAACACAGAGGACAGGTGAAAAACAAGAACACGTTAGTCATTTATGGCCGAGGTCATTAGTCAAAACTAGAACCTAGAAAGAAAAGGCTCTTAACAGTACACCCTTGGAGAGGCCACTTCACTCTTCTGAACAGAAAACGGCTTTCTCTGCGGATAAGGCTTAGCCTATTTGTGACAGCTGACCTAGAGAGGATTTGGAGAAAAAGGAAAGGTTTTTTTTTTTTTTTTTTTTTTTTTTTTTTGTTTTTGTTTTTGTTTTCTTTAGAAGTATACTGGGGAGAGGAAAGAGAAAATGATAGGAGGAAGAATTAAGAGAAAGAATTTGAGAGAGAATTCACTGTTGTTTGAGCCCTTTGAATATATAGGTTACAAGGAACTAATGATTTCCCCCAAATTAATGATTTCTCCAAAACTAATGATTTCCCCAAAAACCAGATCATCATCTGGTCTTTGAATATGCGGAGTAGAAGAGGCAGATCAAGTCATGGGAAATACGTTTTCAACTTCTGTCTTCTGGATTTGTGTTCAGGACTAGAGATGCGAACATCATTATGGGCTGGCCCACTGCCCTTGTTGACCAAAGTCTGGTGTAGGCTCCGGAAGAGCTAATGTTAGATCTTTGATGACCTACTCCATCAGGCTTTTGGGAGTGACACACACACACACAGACAAGAGTCACTGGCAGAGGTCTGTGCTGGGTTCCATAGAGCTGTGCAGAAAGCTTTAGGAGAGAAGGGGCAGGGACAGCCATAGACAGCTGTTCAAGATGAGACTCTGAATAGGTGCATAGAGGTCATGGTGGGGATAGCAGACACACAGGGATTAGAAGGTACACGGTGTCCTCAGAATAGCCAACAGCCATCTTTTATGGTTCCTAAAAGCTTAGGCTCCACGCCTGGCAAGGTCAGGCAAGGTCAGGTGATGAAGCTTAGAAACTGGCCATGTAAATGGAGTCCTGTATTTCCTTATTTCCATTGAGAGTTATCTTAATATCCTCCAGGTTTGTTTCCTGACACCTACTTACTCCTCCCCTCGCCAATCTATATTTGTAATTTGTGAACGCTTAGCCAGTCAGCAGGTTTTCAGCTGACCTCCTAGTGCCTTTAATTTTCTTTGCAAAGAGTTAGGTCCATCTGGCTTCTAACGTCATCATTAGAAAAAATGATTTCTTAGTGAGATCTTTTGAATGAAAGTTTCAAGGGCTTCTAGGAATGACTTCATAAATGTTCTCATAGATGAGAAGTCAGTCTGAGTTCAGGAAAAGCACGGAGTCCGGAGTCCTTCATACCTACCTCCTTATTTTAACTAGATGAGAAAGAAAAACCTTACAATAGGAAATTTGCAAGAAAGAGAAATGACCTTCTGATTCTTAGATCTAGATGGGGCTTTTTTCACTTTCTTCTGTCAAGAAGGTGCCTTGATGTTTTATATTTTGGGCCCTGAGCAGCACAGGGTTGACTCCTGACCCAGCCACATACTTGTCTGAACAAGAACAGAACATCTGCTCCCCGTGTGTCCTGTTGTATCAGGGCCAGCCTCAGATGTAGGCAATCCCTTCCCTGGCATCTCCTGGATGAAGGTTTCTATATCCCCATCCTCACTTGCCACCTTGACTTGAGAACTCTTAGGCCTGATTCTTTGGAATAAAGCAGCTAAGGGTTGTTGAAAATCATCTGTTGCCAAGGTGGGAATCTCTCATTATTAGGTCATGATGGTCATGAAGATGGTGGCCCGAGTGACATCCTCTGACTCAACTGATAGTGGGTCAAGTAGGTGATATAGAATCTTACTTCGGAATGGTCCACGAATGGGTCATGGTGGAGAAAGTGCATGAAGCAACTCGGGATCAGGGATGGCTCTTCTTCATCCTCTCTTTGGGACTTTATATCCTGTCCTTTAAAAGGACGGTGGCTTGACTGGAGTTTTAATGAGTGTTATGTTGTCTAGGATTCTTAATTTTCTTGTTTGAAAGTCTTGCATAAATGGGAGGACAAAGTGCAGCGCATGCTCATTTTCACATACATGTCTTAAACATCCAATAAAAGGATAAAAGTGTGTGTGTGTGTGTGTGTGTGTGTGTGTGAGAGAGAGAGAGAGAGAGAGAGAGAGAGAGAGAGAGAGAGAGAGAGAGAGGGAGTTTTTTGAGGGCAAAATTGGGGCTCAACAGCAGCACTTGATGGACTTTAGAATTCATCTCTTCTTCTTCAAGCAGGACGAGAGAACTTGAAGGGTGCCTTTTGCTGGTATAGTCCATCCTTGCCCCCCACCCCCGAATATACATCTGCAAACAGTGTAATATGAGGAGTTCTAGAAAGACCCCATATTTGTTAACTTTCTGTTGGCTGTGATGAAGCACCATGATCAAGGCAACTTACAGAAGGAAGAGTTGGATTTGGCTTATGGTTCCAGAGTGAAGAGTTCATCATGGAGGGCAGGCGTGGCCGCAGGCAAGCGTGGTGGTTGGAGCAAGAAGCTGAGGGATCACATCCTCAAGTGCAGACACAAAGGAGAATCAGCAAACTGGAAGTGGGGACAGGCTATGCACTCTCAAATCCACCCCATAGTAAATCCTTCCTCCAGCAAGTCCAGACCTCCTCAATGCCACTAAATGGGGATCAAGTGTTCAAGTCCAGGAGACAATGAGGGAGGTCCTTATTCAAAGCTTTACAGACCCCACGGTCAGACTGATTTCTTCACATATTTATCATGTGGCCTCATATTTTATCATTCTCCCCATTTTCCCATTTGGTGCAACAGTCTTTTTTTTTTTTTTAAATATGATTTGGTGTTTTGTCTGCATTCATGTCTGTGTGAGGGTGTCTTTTAAGGCATGCAAAACCTATGGAAACCATTGGTATTTTCTCTCTGGTGAAAAAAGTGGTCAAAAATGAGTGTCAATAGGGCACAATTCTGATCTTAGCTTTGCTTACACATTGCTGGTTGATCTTGGACATGGCTACTTATTATTCATCATTGGCATACAGTGGCAACTTTTCATCACAGGGTAGCTGCAATAGAAGTGACTGTTGACCCTAAAGAAAAACATTTTCTATTACCTGTCCTGTTCCTGTGCAAGATTGGGCCCCTTACATGATGAGCCAGAGGAGCTCACACAGTTTGTGTTGTTATTAGGGAATGTCACTATTTGAAAAGGATTAGGCGGTGTAGCCTTGTTAGAGGAAGTGTGTCACTGGGGGTGAGTTTTGAGGTTTCAAAAGCCCATGCAAGGCCCAGGGTCTCTCCCCTGGTCTATGGGTCAGGATATGGTTCTTAGCTATTGTTCCAATACAATGTATGTGATCATGCTTCCCACTATGATGAAAGTGGACTAAACCTCTGAAACTGTAAGCTAGCTCCAATTAAATGCTTTCTTTCATAAGAGCTGCCTAGGTCCCGATATCTCTTCACAGCAATATAACAGTGACTAAGACCAGGCCCCATTCTTCTCTGAAGATCTGTAGGTTAATTGTGATTGCTGGGTAAGGGAGAGGCATTTTATTCAGCACTGTAGCTACGGGCATGGTGGTTTAAAAAGTACCCCTTCACCTATGCTCCTGTAACTAAGCCTAATTAAAATCATTGGTTCAAAAATGTAGAAAAAATACTTTCTTTAAACTTCAGTCAAGTGTTTGGTTGGCTAGCCTCTCTGCAAGTACGTCTGAGAATACTTTTGTGCCTGGATTCCCTTTCCTCAGGCTTCCCTGTGAGGGGTGAACCTCTCTTACAGACTGCTGTAAGACAGTGTCTGTTTAACTATCCACAGAGTTAGGACTTCGAAGTAGTGCTGTGCTTGAGAGGCACAGGGATATTGGCTTTGTGCTTTATTTACATAGTAAGCAACCATGTTTATTAGGGGTGGATGGGAGTGTTGCCTGGTCCTTAGTAGTCCTGAGGGTCTGTGTAAAGGAAAGGTATGCATTTGCTCTGGCTTCCTTCTCGACAGTTGGAAGTGATGACTGCCTTGGCCCTTCATTAAGGATTCCCTTGCACAACAGCTTCTTAACACCTATCTACTGATCTAACATTGTCAGCCTGGGCCCTCAGGGGGTTGAGAAGGTTATAACCCTTCCCCAAAGAGTGGCTGCCTTCTCAGCTTCACTCAGCCCCTGAAAACTGGTTTCATTCATGATTTCTCCAATGGCAGCATCGTTCTGTCATGTGATGCCGTATTCCAAGCACTAGGGACATGGCAGGAAACTTTTTTTCTGTAGCTTCTTCTTTCTCTGTGTTCTTGTGTGTATGCTATACAGACTCCTACAGATGCACACAGATAGTAAACCACAGTTTTGGGAGCCATCAGAGGACATCCCTGTACCATAACCGGCCCCCTCAAACATCTTCTAGAACCAATTGAGGACCCAACTTAAGAGTTTGGGGAGTCTGAGTTGAATCGTTTCAGGGGGAAAAAAAAACCAAACAATGAAAGAATTTGTTTAGAGCCACCATGGAAACCATACCACCAAGACTTGAAATGTGGTCTCCAATTCTTTTTTTTTAATTAACATTTTGTTTTTTTCTTATGTATGTATGTATGTATGTATGTATGTATTTATATTTGTCTGTCTATCTATCTATCTATCTTCTTCTTCTTCATCATCATCATCATCATCATCATCATCATCTATTTATTCATTATATACAATTTCAGTTCCCCTTCTGTCCTCTCCTCCTGCTCCCCCCACCATCCCTCCACTCCACCCTCCATCCGCTCCTCAGAGGGGTTAAGGTCTCCCCTGGGAAGTTAACTAAGTTTCTTCTATCACCTCACTGAGGCAGAACCAAGCTCCCCTTCCCCTGCTGAGGCTGAACAAGGTGTCTCTCCATAGAGAATGGGCTCCACAAGTCAGTTCATGCATTAGAGTTAGATCCTGGTCCCACTGACAGTGGCCTCATATACTGCCCATGCCACAACATTGTCACTTGTATTCAGGGGGCCTAACTGGCCTCCAATTCTTTTTTTTTAAACTTTTAATGATGTAAACAAAAATATACCTAAAAGCGAAGCTTCTGGAAAAACCATTTGTTCTTCCCTGTCTTGTATCGTTCCTCAAATTTGACCTTGGCTTCCCGCCTTGCCTTGCGTTTTAGGGCTGGGTCCCTAAAGACATCCTTGTTGACAACAGTTTTGTCCAGGGGGATGTCCACAGAGTACCTTGTGGGCATCAGGTGGTTGCAGTTATAAACCTTCACAAAGGACTTGATCTTGGATCTCTTAGCGACTTTCTTCTTGCCCATGGCAGCCGTCACTTTTCGGGGATAGCGGTCAATTCCAGCCACCAGGGCATGGCTGTAAGGGCGGTCTGAGGTGCCATTATCAATGTTCTTCACGATGATGGCTTTGCGTCCCGAGTAGCGTCCAGCCAGGACGAGCACCACTTTCCCGGGTTTCATGAACTTGCCCATTTCGACAGCGAGCAGCCGCTTCCCAGCAGCTGGCCTCCAATTCTTAACTCCAGCTCTACTTCTTGTCCAAAGGATTCCGCTGCCTGAAGCCCTCTCAGGTGTAGTACCTCTTTCTGTTCTGCTAGGTGGCACCAGAAGGCTTCCAGAGGAAAAGGCTCCACATGGATCCGCCTGACTAGGTGCTCAATCTAGAGAAGGGGAGGGGCACCAGGGAGGTATTGTGTGGCAGAGTAAGGAGTAGCTCAGGTTCCCCCTAAATATTGGCTTTAGACTTATCTTTGTTTGGGCTCCAAGCTGGATTCGACATGGTGCAGTACAGTCTTTCCTTGGGTCACATTGCAAGGTTGTGCCAGAGTTCAGATGAAATTCAGGCACCCTCCCCACTGTGAAACCCTGTCTCTAGAAAGAATGCCACCAGGTTCTGGTCCCTACCTGCCCTTTTGGTCTTACCTTGAGCTGTGAATCTCTCTGGCTAAGCACACACACAGTCTCTGCTTTTAGATTCCCAAGCTTAGAATGCCACCTGACCACTTGCTAATTGTGGAACTGTTGTATTTTTATGAGACTTCTCTCTTTTATTATTTTTTATTGTTTTTATTGAGCTATACATTTTTCCTACTGCCTTCCCTTCTTCCCCTCTTCCCTTCTACCCTCTCCTGTGACTCCCCCCCCCCACTCCCAATTGACTCAGGAGATCTTGTCTTTTTCACCTTCCTATGTAGATCCATGTATGTCTCTCTTAGGGTTCTCTTTGTTGTCTATGTGGCCTATAGGCTGATTTTTCTTTGCTTTGTGTCTAAAAGTTTATGTGGCTTCTCTTTACCCCACTTCCTTCCTCTACTAGGTGGGGATGGATGGCTGCAAACAGCATTCAGTCTCTTTACAGTGCTCTCTCATGCAAAGATAGAGTGTGTTTCCCCACATTCTCGAAACAGGTCGGCTTTATAACTTGCTTCTATGAACCCAGCGGTCCGTAAGTATCCAAGTTCTCAGCCACAATCTCAGAAGGTCTTCCAGCTTTCTTTTTACAGTTCTGCAGCCATGTGACAGGCCTAGCTGGCCTTCCTGAGAATGAGAAACCGGTGCAGGGAGTGAGATCCCAATCCTTCAGTTTGGATCTCAGATGCATGCGAGCTCCCCTGACATCAGACAATATAAGGGGGAGGTCAGTGCATTGAGCTTTGAGGTAGCTGGGGTACAGTTGAAACTACTGGGCCAGGCTAGATAAGCCTTTATACTGGAGGGTTGCTGTGGGGTTAGGTGGTGGTACACGCATAGACCAGGATCTAGCACACAGTAAACTAACCCAATAATCATTAGGACAACATAATCTCAGATCATTTCCTTCTGCTGTCTGAAATCTAGTCACTCTGATTATTTTATTCTCTCTCTCTCTCTCTCTCTCTCTCTCTCTCTCTCCCCCTCTCTCTCTGTCTCTCTCTCTCTCTCTGTGTGACATCTGTGCACATGGAGACCAGAGGAGCTTGGGTATTCATCTTCTACCACTCTTTGCCTAGAAACAGGCTCTCTCACTAAACCTAGAACCTAGGTTTGTAACCACCAAACCCTAGAGATCTTCTTACCTGTGCCCATCCTACCCTTCTGCCATACTATTGGGGTTACAGGTGCATTTGGCTACACAGAGATTTTTTTTTTTAAATGTAGGTACTAGGGATTTGAACTCAACTCCTCATGTTTGTGCTGGAATCACTCACATTGGCAACGGAATGGCAGAGATGACCAAGTCAGCCTAAATTTTGGGTGTGTGCTAGGCTTGCAGGAGAGAAGTAATCAGGTTAGAGTTTCTGAATAAGTCTTGTGTGTGCTGCTTCCAGGTCTTACAGCCCATAGGCATAGTTTGTGCTTTATCTCACACTGGGTTAAATAGTCCTAATGCCTTGAGCTTAGGAAAGGTAGTAGGGTGTTGGAAGGTAGGGGAGGGCAGGCATTAACTTCCTCATAGCCCATGTTTCACTTCAAATTATTTAGTAAGGACTTGATGAGGTTTATTGATGAAATGAATGAGTAAATGCAAAGAAGGATGAAAGAATGAATAAATATTCAGGATTCATACCGACAATGTATAGGAAGAATAATAAGAATTTCAGATTGGCCAAGAATTATGGAAAAACCAAGTTTATTTTTCTTTTTTTTTCTAAAAAAGATGATGACATGTTTCCAGTCAATCAGTAAAAAGATTATACATATAGAACATGTACTAAATGCAGTCCCTAGCATTACCTTATAGAGGGAACGTTAGAGCTGCCCTCTGAGTGAGGTGGCACATCAGTCACTCACACAGCTGGTTTGGTTCACAACGAGTAGCAAAAGAAAGTGACCACTTGGGACCAGATGGTCCAGGCTCCCCAGCATGCAGGGACCTATAACACTGGGATCATTCCAGGCACACTGAGACGGTCAGTTAGTCAAGAAAAAGAGCAGCCTTAGAGTGCTGAGTAGAGCGTGGATCTTGGAAGGGGTGGGGTGTCACATTTTCTCGCCACCTCCTTATCCTCCTTTCCCTCTGAAGTGAGACTCCTGTTCCTAAGGACAGCTCTTGCTCTCTGAAAGCCTCATCAGTACACCGTATGCAATTTGGGCTTGATCTTTATGCCAGGAGCTAGAGCTGCTTCCACTTAATTTGCAAGCGTGGTAGCCTGCTCCAAGGTCCTTTAAAGACTACAGGGAAAAGCAAACACTTAAACTCCAATCTACTGGAGCAAATACTCTGCTATTTTCTAGAATAAACTACTGGAATTTCTGACTATTGGCAGGAGGTAGGAGTCTCAGAAGGAAAGGGGAGTTAGATCCAAGTTTTGATGAATCTCTTCACTTGGAACAACCCATGTTTGCTTATCCTTCACTCATCCCCCACCTCCTGTATGACCATATCAATTTTTCGGTAGGATACTTAAGTTCCTACCTTCTGGCTCATGCTGGCATTATGATATCACAGAGCTTTAGGGTGATGCTCAAAAGGGCTCCTCCAATCTTTGTTTTCCACAAGGATGAACAGAGTCAGCCCATTCTGCCATTTGCCGTCTTGATTGTTGGGCTATTTCTTAGTATCATTACTTAGGAATTACTTAAGTCACAGGCCAACTCATGGCTGCTGGTGGTGACTTGGGTAAAAAGGTTACAGTTTTCCTATCCTTGGACTTTTTGCCCAATATGCAGGCACTGCCTTGAGACAATGGCAAAGAACACTCCTTGACTTAGCTTTGAAGACTTGGAATAGGTCATCGCTGGTCATAGCGGACCTAGCTTATCTTGATAGCCTCTGAGAACTGTCAATTAGCTTTTTATAGAAATCTTCAACATTTTATAGTGTTAACACTTTTGGCATTAACAGTTTCTAGGGATAGGAAACACATGTAATTCTTTCCCCACGACTGTTTAACTTAGCTGAATCACAGGTCGATGATGGCATGACACGCTGGCATCAGCCGATAATGTGGGTTTTAAACTTGAAGATGCCACTTTGAACTCATAGTTGCTCTGTCATCTGGGCCTCTTATTGAGGAATGCTATGCTAATATATTATCCCTGGTTTTTCCCATTGTAAGAGTTGAATGAGGATGGGCAGTTTGTTTCCAAATAAATCAGTAGTTTGATGAGAGCATGCTGTGTCCTTTTGGAATACTCCCCCAGATGGTGGGGCATGTGGTCCATTAGTGAAAAACCTTTAGTATGTGTATCCTTCCTGCCTCTTATATGAGTTGTAACCCCACAGCCCTTGGTAGTATCTGTTGCACTGCACGCAAATCCCATCTAATCCCATTTTCATCTTTAGATGTTGTTTTCTTTGGCTTAGAGCAGTGGTTCTCAACCTGGGTCACAGCCCCTTTGGGAGTCATATGTCAGATAGCTTGCATATCAGATATTTACACTACAAGTCATAACAGTAGCAAAATCACAGTTATGAAATATCAGTGAAATAATTTTATGGTTGGGGGGTCATCACAACATGAGGAGCTTTGTTATTAAAGGGATGCAGCATCAAAAAGGTTGAGAAACCACTGGCTTAAAGGAATGAGGCAGCCTCAACTCTGTTCATGGAAGAGATGATATTCCTGACTTGGTACAGGAGTGATCTTGAGAAGAAGCTATTGTGTGTGCAGGTCTCCTCTGAAACTTGAACTCTTGGGTGAGGTGAGGTGATGGCTTGGCAACCCTAGTAACTTCCATATTCTGATACATCTCAAAGATTTGTAATACTGATTGGAGTCTTGGATACTCACTGCCTGGATGCATTGGGGTCATGGGCTTTGCTCACGTAGAAGCACATAAAGATGTGCTTGAGTTAAAACGTTGGAACACAATGTAACAAAATCAAAACATCTGGATCCAGACTATTGTTTTGAAGTTGTGCTGCCTGGCAGAAAGCCAGAGTCAGTGGGCCTGACAATCCAGTGTTGCTCAACCCCTTTGGGGACATCTTTTCCACAAGGAATTCAACCCTGGTGGAGGAGAACTGATAAAACTGGCAGTTATTCCTCTACAGAGAGGAAGGGAACTGGGTCACTTGCCAGTTATTAAGGTGGCCTCTTCTGAGTTTGCTTCAATCTCCGATTTTTGTAGTCCCCTCATATGAGTGAACTCTGAGACCGGCGATGGCTGCCTTTGCTTGAGAGTCGAGACACATCCTTCTGTCCCCTGACATAGGCTGTCAGAGCCATTGTTCTGTTTGGGCCCAGTAGACATTCCCCAGATGAGAATTTAGCCAAGGTGTCTCCTGAGCATGAGCTATCCCGTGAGAGCTCTCTGTTGCATCTTGGACCCTGGAGAACCCAGTTTTCAACATGCTTCTGCCTGGGAGGGCTAAAGTTCTTTGGGGTGCTGGTTCCTAAGCCCTGCTGTCGTGCAGGTGATACTGACTGGCATGGAGGCTGAACATGGGCAGGGTCCGAAACAGGAACAGAAGCAGAGGCAGAAGCAGGGGCAGGAGTAGGCCTCTGTTTGCTTCTCCAGTTCTGGATTTCGAGGTTTCTTTTGTCTATGGGCAGCTTGTCAATTTTCTGGGCTTTTAAGATGAGAGACTTCCCATATGTGCCTTGTAGAGACAGGAGTAAGTACCTAGTTGAAAGTAAAAGAATAAAGGTAGTTTTTGAGTTGTTTGTATCTTCAAATTTCAGCATTGAAAGGGCTCTTAGACTCTAACTTTTCTCCAGTGAGATTGTCTTCATTGTACACTGAGTAATCACTCTCAAAGCTAAGGATGCCTGCTCCTGCAGATGGAGGAAGGGAGATAACAGCAGCAAAATACAACAGTAAAGCTTATTCTCTTCAAAGAGCCTTGCTGATTACTGATTCCTGCTTTCAGAAGCCCACGTGCTTGACATAGTCAAGGACGAGGAGGCTACCTTTGAGCCCCGGTAAGGCACACATGCTCTCAATCACTTGGAAGCATTGCCAACTTAACTTTACATGAGTGTATTTTGTGATGTTTGTACTGTGATGAGATTGTCCTATGCTGTGTTTCTCATGTCTTAGTGTGTCACACACAATGCACAATGAATCCAGTGCTTTATCTGCTGTCAAGCTATGGTCAGATCCAAGTGTTCTTATCGGCTGTATACACATTGCATTGTTGTGTGTGTGTGTGTGTGTGTGTGTGTGTGTGTGTGTGTGTGTAACTCTATATAATTACTCTTTGCCCAGTGAGGAGACTGACACCTCCAGATGAGGTCTATTGTGTGGTGTGATTTTTTGCAGCATTCCTGGGCCCTCTGATTGCCAGGATACCCTTTCCCCTAAAACCTTACCCCAGGTGCTGAGGTGATACTGCCAAAGCTTCCTGAAAAGGTCTGGGATCTCAGCATCTCACTCCGACTTGCCCTTTTCTTACCAAGCTGCATGTAGCCTGTGGGAGACTTTAGATTCATCTTCTGGATCCAAATTTAGACATGTGGAAGGGTGAGAAGGCTAACTATACATTATCTTATATCATAGGCCATGTACGTTCCCTTTTCTGAGTGTTATCTAGCCTGGAGGACATGTTCAATGTTAATTTTAAAGCCTTGTAAACAGAGAGTCTGATTTTATTGTGTTTGAAAGTTGTACGCTGAACCCACAGGGGACAAGAATTTTCTTAAGACTGTAATAGATCCCACCAATGCTGATAAAATTTTCCTTATTTTTACCAGAGAACCTAGACAACAAAGAGAACCCTAAGAGAGACATACATGGATCTAATCTACATGGGAAGTAGAAAAAGACAAGATCTCCTGAGTAAATTGGGAGTGTGGGGAGCCATGAGAGAGGGTAGAAGGAGAGGGAGAAGGAGAAGAGGGGAGTGGAGAAAAAATATATAACTCAATAAAAACAATAAAAAAAGAAAAAAGAAAGTTATTTCAATTCAGAATAGTGATTTCTGGGTCTGTGAAGAAAATATAAAGTTAGGGGATCAGCGAACCCAGGCTGAAGGCTTGGCACTCACTGGATCTAGGGAGTGAGTTGCAAAGGGAAGGAGAAGTGGGAAGAGAGTCCAAGCATGTGCAGGTCTCAAAAGTCAAGGAAGAGGGACCAAAAACTGTTACTATTTGCTACTACTAATTAGAAGGATTAAGAAAGGGCCCTAGGAGTTAAGCTAGATATGATCATCTGTTTTTAAATCTCTAAAATAGTTTTCATACATCTATGCTTCTAGTTGAAGGGAATTTGTACTGTCCTTTTGTGCTGGGTGAATTAACTGGACCAAGATTAGCAGTCTACTTATCACAAGATTAGCGAGTAAGATCACTGCCCATGATGAGAAACAGGACTTTCAACTTTAAGCCAGGAACAGTGTTAGCAATGAATAGCAAACATTCTATCATGTGGATTTCTATAAACAAACATGCATTATGCCAAGGTTGTAAGTCAAGTGTCCTTACAATTATTAAAATAATCCCTTCATTATCAGAAGAAATCCTTTTGACCTTAGTAAATAGAATTAAATGGGAATTCCACTTTGTGGTAATAATATAGAATAAGCAAAGATTTGGCTCATATACCATGGTCACTAGCAAGTACATATTTGCTAATGTTTCCTTAACTCATCCCCCATCTGTTCAGCAGGTCATGAAGCTGATGCCCAGCTGTTCATTCCACATGTGTCAACAGTCCTTGCACGTGCTTCAAGGGCCTTTATTAAGCTGCTGCTGTAGCCTTGGAAGACTGTGGCTCTAAGCACTTTTCTAATGAAGAACACCAGGCTTATAAATTTCTCTTTAGTCTCCAAATAACCTGGGGGATAGAGAAGCTCACTCTGGCCATGATGGTCACAATCGCTTAACTTCAAAATCAGTGGGCAAAACAAACAAAACCCAACAGTAAGGCCAGAGAGGCAGCTCAGTGGTTAGAAGTGCTCTATGCTTTTCTAGAGGACCTGAGTTAAGTTCCTACCACCCACATCAGGTGGCTCACAAATAATCTGTAACTCCAGCTTCAGGCATCTGACACCCTCTTCTGGCCTCCACAGGCACCTACATACACATAGCGCACGCTCGTACGCACACACACACACACACACACACACCATAAACAAACAAACAAACAAACAAACAAACAAAAAATAACAAAAACAAATCCCTGACATTTCTGATGGAATTTTCCAATAAGGGCATGATCCTCCCATTCCTCTCAGGGTTTTTGTCCCCAGAGTTTCATTGACAAAGGGGTGGGTAGAAATTTTATTCTTGAGACTTATACTTTTTCTTTCTTTCTTTCTTTCTTTCTTTCTTTCTTTCTTTTTTGCCTACTCTGTACTCTGAGGATCCTATATGGGTCAGCCTCTTTCACCCGTATGACAGACTTATGTGCAATGCCTCTGCTGGGTGATACCTTGTGTGAAGCTAGAGTCTGTCTATCCATCTTTCTGATTGTCCAGTATCCATTGTTCATTCATCTCAGGGCACAGACTATGCAGCAGGAACTGCTAGGTGATGGCTGAATAAAGACAAAAAGTTCTTTCTTCTGGAGTCTACCATCAGAAGACATGAACATGATTTGAATGATGGGAAAACTGGCTGTAACAGCTAAACACACAGGTGGTGGGAATATCAGGGATTTGCTACACTCCCAGGAAGGTAGGAGACGTCCTAGAACTTCTGAAAATAGTCATGCTGTTATGAGATCAAAGCGTAAAGAGCTTCGGTGGAGGCAAAGACATTTCCAATAGAAGCCACAGCATAGAAGTGAGAGGGTCTGGGACCATTAACACAGCTAAGCAGTTTGGTGGTGTTTATCTCCAAATTCGAAGCAGTGTGGAGATGAGGCTGGAGGACTCTAGGAGTCAAGCTGGGAGGTCCTGCACACAGCCAGTATTCAGAACTCAATTCTTCTGCAATATTTGCTGACCTCTGTACTATATGCCAGGGTTGTATTTTCTGTCTCTAACTGTGTATCAGAAGCCAAAGTTCTGAGATGCCTTAGAAAGATGCTACAGGCAGATGAAGGTTCCTCAAGGCTCTCTGCCCACTGCAGGGCAGAGACAGTTCGGCACAGTGTTGCCAGTGGGCATTTATTAGCCTTTAATGACAAGTGGTTCAATTCTGATGTGCAAACTGATGAGATCCTGAGGAAGGAGAAAGCTTAAACTGTGCCTACAAAGACATTATTGTCAACTTTACCCATTTTTCTGACTGGAGCGTGGGGTCGGAGAATGCAGCACCGGCTCTTCAGTCAGGAGATCCTTGTTCCCACTGTGATTTGTACTGGTAACATGGTCATATCTGGGTACTCAGACCTTCAGCTGTTTCATGGGCTAAAACCTTAGCTCTGCCTAGTAACTGGCTGAGAGAAATAGAACCTTTGGGGCTGTGTACTGTGTAGCAATCTCGAGCTCCACAGGGCAGCCTTATCGCTGCTGGCATTTTCCTTGAAACTGTGAAAGCAACAGTTTTTGGGTCAGAAGTGTCAGAAAATAGTGTGTGATCATGAGCGATTTATCTGGGTAACAGAGCCTTTCTGAAATGTCACACATGTTTTTATACTTTGGCACTATTAAAATGTTGGCTATTTTACAAGAAAGTTAAAATTTCAGAGAGAAGTCTGAAGCTCTGCTTCACAGTTCTTTCCTGTGCTGAAAAGATGTTCTTTGTCCCCATGTATGCGCTCCACATGGCTTGCTGGGACTGCTCTCACTCCTACAGGCACTCAGGTGTGAGACTCCCCGACCGGCAGAAAAGATTACAGAGCTTAAACAAATCCTTCCTTATCACACAACAAAATTTCTAAGCCAGGAAAGTACAATGACTCCTCCCACATTACATGGTCACAGTGGGGGCCATTTTGCTTCTCTGTGGTTGACCTAGGACCAGAGTTCGTGTTATTTTTCCTCTGTCTTATTGTTCCTTTTTCATTTTTTATTTGTTTGTTTTGTTTTTGTTTTTTGGAGACAGGATTTCTCTGTGTAAACAGCCCTATCTATCCTGGCACTAGCACTTGTTGACCAAGCTGGCCTTGAACTTACAGAGATCCTCCTGTCTCTGCTTCTCCAGTGCTGGGATTAAAGTACACCACAACTACCCAGATTTTTTCTTTTCTTTTCTTTTCTTTTCTTTTCTTTGCTTTTCTTTTCTTTTCTTTTCTTTTTCTTATTGTTTTTTTATCCCAGTACCTTGTGTCTGGACAACAATCTCAAGGCTCCAGTCAACTTGGCTGATTTAAAGCCTTTATGAAAGTATACCTCGAGGTGTAGCTGTGTGGGTGTGGGTGTTTCAAGGAAGGGTTAGCAGAGGAGGGAAGCACCCCCTCGAATGTGGCCTGGGGTCCTGGGTTATGCAGAGAAAGTGAGCTGGGCACCAGCATTCATGTCTTTGCTCTCTGAGCTCCTGCACACTGTCACTGGCTGCCACGACAGACTTGCCCTCCAAACTGAGAGCCAAGACAAGCCCCTCTCTTCTCAAGTTGATTTGGCCAAGCATCCCTTCACAGAAGTAAGGAGTGTAACTATACCCTTGGGCTGTGGGGATTTAGGGGAGACTGGGAATTTTATAGGGCATTGCCCAAGAGCTCAAACCTGGGTAGAAGAGCCGCAACTGGTGTGAGCAGGCAGATGAGGTAGAATGTGGGGTCTGAGAGCTGCCTTTCCATCACCCCGTAGGGATTGACGGGGCTGTTGCAAGTAACACAAGTGGCGTTGTAGATGAGGGAAACCACGAAGTACATCAAGAAGCTGCCGAGAAGGACAAGGCCGTGGAGGACAGTCTGTAAAGGGGACAAAGAAGATGCCGTTGGAAGTTCTGATTAAATTATAGGGCAGCAAAATGCACATAGCTTAATTAATCTTTGCTTTAAACCTTTTTGAAGAGGCACACACATATCAAACACTCACAAAACAGGCAGCTTAGTGGACCAAGCATCCATATTGCTCTACCTAGCTGGGTTGTGAAAACTGGCTCGGCTTTTAACATTCTATTTTTAAAAATGTAATGGCTAGGAGCATCCTAGACAGTAAATTCATTTGAGGGGAATATTTCGAGCATACTAAACCTTATAGACACAATTAAAGTAACCATATATCTCTCGTAAATGGCCTGGCTATCTATTTTTAGGCAAGTTCTGTACATGTTTATGGATGAATTCTTACTTTATCATATATATGTATTCCTTTTGCTTATGGATTGGAAGTTGTTGTCTACTCCCAAATCTACATGTTGAAACTCTCAATTGATAGTATTTGAAAATGGGACTTTTGGAATTTAGAGTCCCCCATGAATGGACTTACTGTTGTTATAAGAGACACGAAAGAAAAGATACCTTTCTCTCTTTTCCTTCCAGGGATGTGTAATAAAAGCTTTTTCCTTGTGTGTCATTATAGATGTTTCTAATTCTACTTTCCAATTTGATAGCTTCCCTCCCTCCTTCTGCCCCTTCCTCCCTCCCTCCCTCCCTCCCTCCCTCCCTCCCTCCTTCTGCCCCTCCCTCCCTCCCTCCCTCTCTCCCTCCCTCCCTCCCTCCCTTCCTTTGCTGTCTGATCTAGAATGAATTGCACAGATTGTACTTTTAATTTCAAAGCTAATTTTTCATTTGGGGGAGTTCTAACAGTTTCCAGAGCTGGTCTCAATTCCTAGTATCAATGTCACTCTTTGCCTCATACATCCCTCACCCACTGTTTCTGATATAACCACACCCCAGGAGCTTATCAATACCATAGTTTTCCATAGCTTGCTCTGTAGGGTAGAGACAATTGGACCAACAATAAATGGAGCTCTAGACTCCCCTACTATACAGGAGCCAGACTCCCCAATGGTATATTTTCCTGCCTCCTAGAAAGCACACCGTACCTCACCGTCTCTCCATTGTGTCATAGTCTCTTCTGGTATTGATGGGCCATAAAGAACATGAACTTAGGACAAAAGAGGCATAGCCAGGCTTACCACTTTGTTCTGTCGCTACTGGCACACATTAGAAAGATCGATTTCCAAGATGAGACCTCCCTGATCCAGAGGTTCTCTTGGGGCCTCTTATTGGCCACTTAGTAAGCTTTTGATGGTGAAAGGGGGTGAAGGAGAAAGCTTCATTGTAGAATTCAGGCATGTGTTGAGCCTACCTGGAGGTATTTTCATATTCAAATTTTCAGTACATGTGCTTTTAGCAACAGTCATCTTAACATGACCATGGGAAGATCTTTCTTTACTGTGATCTCTGTGTACCACTAAACTTTGTCTTTGTATTGTTAGCAAAGTGGTTAAAAGCAAAAGGGTCAGAATGACAGGGATTAAAACTCACTTCTAGTTTGAGCTGCTTGGGACAGATTTCTTAACCTTGCTCCACCTATTTCTAAATCTGTAAAATGGGATGATTAAAAAAATCTAACACATAGTGAAGTTAAATGAGGTAATGTATGTACATCATGTAGATTAATACTTGGCATAAAAATTTGAACTCTTTAGAGTTATTAGCAAAACGCAGTGAGAGAGCTTGTTCTTTCTCTGTACATGTATATGTGGGTGGGTGTAGAGGCTAGAGGTTGATTTTGGTGTCTGTTTTCCTTAAACTCTGTCTTATATTTTTGGGACATGTTTTCTCACTGACCATGAGGCCCACTGATTCAGTAAGATTAGCTAGCTAGCCAACCAGTTCCAGGGATCCTCCTAGCTCCACTTTCCTGGCATTGGGATTATGGGTACACACTAACATATCTGGCTTTTTCTTTTGTGGGTGCTGGATATCAAATTCAGGTCCTCATCTTATAGATTAAGCCACTTCCTCAGCCTGCCTTTTATGGTGTAAGATCCCTAAATACAATATTTGGCAATGTTTGATATGTGGTAACCAAGTAAGTAGGTTATAGCCTTGTATCCACAGCTTCAGCTGGGCTCAGGCTAGCCTTTCCTATCTCTTCAATGCTCCTGAATTTTTCATCACCATAAATCTAGTTTTGGAACTGTCTCATTGCTTTATGGGCATTGCTATTGTCATCATGACTAGATGCTGAGGCCAGCAATGTTAGCATCGTTGCCAATTCCAATGCTTTATAGGGGCACAGTGAGAGACTCATGAATTTACGGAGCTAGACCAACTATATAGAGTAGAAGAACTCAGAAATTTGAGTACATTCAGTGAACAAGAATACGATTTTTAAGCTATACGGCCTATGGGATCCTTACCCATGTCTTCATTTCCATTGCCTGGTGCAAGAGGATGGTAATGAGGGAGATGGTGTTGATTGGTGTTCCAAAGGTAAAGACATCTATATCTGAACCTCTGTAGGTCTAAGGAGGAAGAACAGACAGGCACGGTCAAGGAGGTATACCCGAGCATGCATGGATTTAAGGCTATGTGTTCAATACAATGAAGCCAGGGAGAGAAGAAATACGGTGAAAAGAAAGGAGAAAAGAAGGGGTTGATTCAAGGAATGGACAAGAGGAGAGATGAGTGACAAGATTAAATTGTTTAAGGACATGTTTGCTCTGGTGAAGTCTGGAAAACCCCTGTGGAATGGGTAAGCAGAAGCTTTCTTGAGCATTCTCAGGCACATCACTGGTTGCTGAGGGTATGTATATCTACCTTTAAGGAGACCGTGGCACTATAAGGCAGTCCTATAGCATTCACTCCCTTAGACACCCTGGGAGCACATTTATCGGCTGAAACCAGGTTATGATAAAGGAAAATGTAGTCCAGACAGAGGTCAAGTTTCAGAGTGGGCAGTATAATGGTTGGGCTTTGTTAACTTGACATAAATTTAGACATATCTGGGAAGAGGGAATCTTCATTGAGAATATGCCTTCATAAAGTTGTCCTGTAGGCAAGTCTATGGAGTATAGTCTTGATTAAAGATAGATGTGGGAGGGTTCTACTCCTTGGCAGGTGGTCCTGCTTGCTATAAAAAAGGCTGCCAGGCAGTAGTGGCACATGCCTTTGATCCCAGTACTCGGAAGGCAGGTGGATTTTTGAGTTCAAGTTCAAACCTGGTTGGTTAACAGAGAGAGTTACAGGATATCCAGGGCCACAGAGATAACCCTGTGAAAAAGCAAGCCAGCTGATCAAGCAATGAGGAGCAAGCAGTTAACAGAATTCCTTTGTGGCTTCTGTTTCAGTTTCTGCCTTCATGTTTCTGACTTCCTTCAGTGATGTTAGATGAAAAAATCCTTTTCTCTCCAAGTCAGTTTTGGTCATGGAATTTCATCACAGCAATAGAAACCCTAACTAAAATAAATGCTCTTAGCTCCAGGACAGGAAGTATAGGGGATAAGAAATATAAGATGCCATCCTGCCCAAATGTATCTCCTCTTCATGGGAGGTACCTTAGAAGAATTTTTTTGTAGTCATTCAGAAGAAGGGAGAATTACAGACATGATGTAATTTAAGGGTGATAGTATACAGCACAGAGAAGGCAAAAGCAGAGGAAGACAGATAACACAATCTCTTACAATACAATCTCTATCTAAACAGGGCCATTAATCAACTCTGTACGGTTTTCCCATGAGGGGAAATAACCCAGTGTAATGACAGCTTTTGGTTTTTCAAGAGGCCCAGAAATAAAGTTTTGCATAAAGTGTTCTGTCTTCTCTAATCCTTGGGTGGGATGTGCCTAGCTACTAATTTGGAGTCTCTGCCATGGCGTATGTAAAAAGGTGCTAGTGGTCTGTGATTTTGTATAACTAAGCCCCATTACACACCATGACTTCTATGTCTAGGATGGGACTATATGACTTACCAGGTAAGGGATAAAGAAACAGATGAGACTCTGGTAGAACGCATCAGCCATGGAAATCCAGAACCTTGGCAGGTTGTAGCACTGCAGGGAAGAACACACCAATAACTTAGCATCCTGGGGAGCCTCTGGTCTTTGTGAGCATCTTCCTCATGTGTGGCTGAGCTTAACAGTATGATACTTTGCATCCCTGTCATCTTAGCTTCAAGAGAATGGAGTCTTAGCCCTGCCAGTCAAAGATGTTGTTTTGTAGAAATTATGAACCTTTTCTGTGAACTGCTTTCTTTCCACAGAGAAGTTCAAGGGGACTAAGTGCAACTGTGTCTTGATATCCAGGAAGTGCTGTCAATGCCACTCATTAGCTCTGTCACTAGGACTGCTCTTCTGAATTCGCTACGTCCCCTCTGAGGTGGAAAGCTCACTCATAGACAAGGATCAATGCTCCCAAGAGTCAGAGATCAACTGCTTTAGAGATAAGAGTTCTCATCTTATGCTTTGCTCTTCTCCCTTTTTGAGAAAAAGGAAACATGATTTATTATGTTTTTTTTTTTTAAATAGTAGCTACTATGTTGTATAGCCAGCCTGCCTGTGGGGAGGGTAGAATTAGAAGAGCCTGAGATGGGCTTGCTCCTCCCCCTCCCCTTTAGCTTGTCTTCTTGGGCTGTTGCATTGCTTTCTCCTCTGTTTTTTGTTAGGACTTGGTTTGGTTTGATTCTTTGGTTATCCACAAAAACAAAACAAAATAAAAACCCCAAACAGTGGCTTTTAAGAACACTACCTATGGCCTTGTCCTCCTTCATTCAAGGTGCCGTGGTACTTACTGTACCCTCAGATATTTCAAAGGTCTTCCCTTACAACTCCATTGGATGCAGCCAATGTTGCTCTCATCTCTCTGTCTGGCTTTCTTGTCTGTGCCTTGGCTAGTCTCACCACTTGGATTATTTCTTCAGTCCTTTAAGAACTTCATAGAAACCTGCTTAATAACTTCCTACACTTTCTTAAGTTTACCTGAAATAGTGCTAGACTCTATGCAATGATGATGTCTAGTTCTGCCTTCCTTAGGGTGAAACTGTGAAACATTCAAGTGCCTCACCAATGATGAGAAAACTAGTTGTTGGACATAGGGATCCCCCAAACTATGTGTGATTATTTGGAGATGATTTGAGTGTGTCCCCAAAGGCTCCTGTGTTGGAAGATTGGTCCTCAGAGTGGTGATGTTTACAGTGTGGTGCCTAGTGGGAGGTGGTTAGGTCACTAAAGGAGGGTGCTTTTTTGGATGAGACTAATGCTGGTTTTATGAGAATGGGTTGCTAGAGTCATCTTGACCTAGGAGTCTTCCTGCCACACCATGTGATCTCCCCTGTTACATATATTCACATCACGATGCACTTTCACAGTGTGATAGAGCTGAGGAGGCCCTTGCCTAGAAGGCTGAGCAGACAGCTACACGACCTCAGACTTGTAGCATCAAAATTATGAGCTAAATAAAATCCTTTGTGGTATTACTTAGCCCTCAGTGTTCTGTTAGAGAAACAGAAAATGTGCTTGTAACTGGGTCTTTGGAGTTTGATTGTTCTACTTCACAGCCTGGAGGCACGAGGTCTTACCATATGCACTCCCCCCTTCAGCTATGGTAGTTGAATATTAAAATAGACTTACTGGTCTTATCTAACATTCTTAGCAGCAAGTATGAAACAGGCTAGAGTCACCCAAAGTCACACAGGAGGCAAGTGACAGAACTGTGGCTAGTTCCCGACTCCCAGCTCGATACTCTCTCTGTCCAGCAGGGGGACTATCAGAGTTTAGGGACAATCTAAAGCTACCCCCATTCTTGCTGCAGCTCCTCACCTCGGAGTTTTGGCCACTCTTGTATAACTCAGGCAACGCCAGGAGTGTTTCTGCAGAGACATCTTTATCGAGGATTCCGAAGACAATGGGAGGCAAGGAGGTGAAGAAGAGATTGAAGAATATCATCTGCCAATAATCGATCATGGTGGAGCCGGAGAAACCACAGAAGAACTGGTACCAGAACAGCAGGTTGACATAGCACTGCAGGCAGGGAGCAGGCTTCGTGAGTGAGGTCTCTGCTTGGAGTATGCTGGACTATGGTGGCTAAGAGCACAGGTTTGGGAAGTGGAGAGGCCTGATTTTACATCCCCAGGTGTATCAATTTACTTGCTCTATGACCTTGGGCAAACGACATCATCTTTCCAAACATCACTTTGTCATCTACCATGGCACATAATACACGAATCGTGTCCCAGCGGTACTGGAGAGTGGGGAATGGGTGACAGTGATAGCTGAGCTGTGGATTCCTAGGTAAGATGGCAGGCTGCAGGGTGCTTCTGTGTAAGTCCATAAAGGAGAGAACAAAAGGAAGAATAAAGAAACCTTATCTTAAACAGAAATAGAGGACAAGCTTAGAAAATCACGAAGGAAGTGAAAGGAACCAAGATGTGTCATACAGCAGAAGCAGGTGACACAGAGCCTGGCAGAGGGAGGAAATGCAGAAGACAGATGAAGGCCAGGTGTTATCCAGCTGGGACAAGCCCACAGCATTCATGGGAGCCAAACACAGTGGATTTTGGTGAAACAGATGCAAGTGGGTCGGACATGGAGATGAACCCCGTTTTCCCACACTGTAAGGAGGGAGGCAGCAGCTGAATGTCTTGTTGAGAGTGGAAACAATCTATCCCAAGACCCAGCCATACCATTGTTGGGTATATACCCAAAAGATGTTCAGTTGTATCACAAGAACATGTGTTCAGTTATGTTCATAGCAGCATTATTTGTAGTAGCCAGAGCCTGGAAACAAACTAGAGACCCCTCAACCAAAGAATGGAAAACAAAAATGTGGCACATTTACACAATGGAGTACTACAGAGCGGTAAAAAATAATTGATAACTTGAAATTTACAGGCAAACGGATAAATCTAGAAAAAACTGTATTGAGTGAGGAAAGCCAGGCACAAAAAGACAAATATAATATGTATTCACTCATAAGTGGCTTTTAGACATACAGCAAAAAAAAAATCAGCCTACAGGCCACAACCTCAGAAAAATTAGACAACAAAGAGGACCCTAAGAGAGACATACATGGATCTACATAGGAAGGTGAAAAAGACAAGATCTCCTGAGTCAATTGGGAGTTTGTAGGGGGAACAGAATAGGGTAGAAGGGGAATAGGGAGGAAGATAGGGGAGTAGAGAAAAATATATAGCTCAGTCAAAAGAAAAGAAGAGTCAGACCTGTAGCTGAGTTAAATGGATTTCTAGACCCTGTGTGGTGAAATTCTGTTGCTGCTGACTGAGCAGTGCTCAGAGCTCAGTACGAAGGTTCTCCAACTTGAGTTTAAAGAGATGTACACAAATTTCTAGACAGAAATTCAACAAACAATACAATGCAACTCTTCATGGTAATACAATTCCTCATCCATGGAATTAAAAAATGCTCAAGTCGGTAAGAGCCTGGGAGAAGGTTTTGAAAACTTCAAAAGAGTATACAAACAGGCAGCTAATTTCAGCTGGGGTGCTAGAGAGGAAAGTCACAGCACAGAATGAAAATTTATCAAGGAAATTAAGATTCAGAGGAAGTAAAAGAAAGACATATTGAAAGTGAAAATTCAATGAACCTAATAGAAAACCTGGCAGAAAGCATTAGATGGGCGGTATCCTTTGCCATTAGTCATAACCACCTGTGACGGTATCACTAACATCCCTAAATGAAGGTTATTAATAAATATCAATACCATAGCAATGATTTTCATAGCTCCAAGACACCCAGCTTCACTTTACCCTAATTGAAGGCTAGCAACAAGTACTTGAAGTTCCAAAGTTCTTTCTTTCTAGCTACTCTGGACCTTTCCTGATACTATCTCTGGGTTCCATAGTAAGATACATCAAGACATCCATGGCCAACAAAAGCAGAAAGTATTTATTGCCTAGCCTTTACGGGAAGAAGCTTGTTGTCCCTATGTGGACAAAATATCTCCCAAGAGCAAGGAAATACTCTCCCTGGTTCAGTCCCCACGCTATGCCCAGTGGCTAGCACACCGCCTAGAACACAGCAGACATTTCCATAGATATCTGAATGGACGAAGTGAATCTTTGTTTGGTCCTGATAACTCATCTTGAAAATTTAACATCACAAAGTATATCCTTGCCCTGGCGACTGGTTTCCACTTCCCCTTCCTAGCTACAGGCTTTGCATCTCCCAGGGGGCAAGCACACTGTACCCCATGACAGCATGGGCTCAGATTGGGTGCCTGCTCATCTACCCTAGAGGCTCCAGTACAGTAATTAATTCATTGTTCAAATTTCAGAGCAGGCAGGGTTTTAATCCCTCTGGAATTGGTTTCGGATATGGAAGTCATAGTTCCCCACCCTCTAATTGCAGCTGGGAGATAATACCGCATCAGTATGGCAGTTCTGAGCTTAGCAACGCGCTAGAAATAAGTATCACTTGAGCTTGGAGAGCGTGGCTGGCTGGAGAGATTGCCTTTCCGCTTCACAAATTTAACGCAGAGAAGAGACGGTGCTGATTCAAAAGAATGACTCCTTGGATGCAAAAGACAAAAATGAAGCAGGGTGTTTTGAATTCTAAGTAAACAGTCTTTCGTGTTCAAAGTGAATCTCAAGTCAGACGGAGTGACTTGCTTGCATAGACAGTGCTGAGACAATATCTCCACCCAGTCGGCTGAATTTATACTGTTTTTGTCGTGCTGTTCTTTTACATATGTGTATGTGTTGGACTTCGGACAGAGACAGTCACCTCTGAATAAGGATGACTATGTTTAGACAATGGACTAAAAGGAAAATGATATAATTTTTAGGCCACTATGTTTGTCTTCCATCATCCCAGTGTTAACTGTCCAGTTTTCCTTGTACAAAAGGGAATCAAATTCTATTTGGATCAAAGATCCTCGAAGAAGGCAATGGAAACTCCGTCCCTTGCTCCATCCCTTAGTCCAGCTATGTTTCGCTATCTCACTGGTAAACTGACGGTTAATCTCGGACTTTTCAAACAAGAGCCTTTGATGGCTTCAATAGCTCACCTGGCATGTTCTTGCTTTGGGGCCTTATCAGGAGAGAAATCAACATTTATCTGGGATCCATAGCATTACTATCTCAGGCCACAGACCCATAATAAATGAGCCAACTAGCCACAGACTGACACCTCCAGAAGAATGAGCCCCAACAACCCTTTCATCATTGTCAGTTGATTATCCTAGATATTCTGCCACGTTGGTGAGGCGCTGACCAGCACAGGGCACATGAGAGACAGGAACTATTATCACTTGCATTTTGCGGATGGAGAAACATATGTTTGGAGACAATTACCAAATATGGGAATCTAGGTTGGCACTTAATCTGACTCCAGGATCCATATTCATAAGCATTCATGCTGTTCTTATGTGCCAGGGGCTTTCCACAAAGCATAGCCAGTTCTTATGACAATATCACAGTAAGTAATACCAGCCTCCTTCCTGTTTTAAAATTATAGAGGAAACTATGACCTATGGAGAATGTAGTGTTGTCCAAAGTTACATAGATAGTGAGATCTCAAATCCAGGTCAGAGGACTAGCTCCCTTGAGTTGAAATGATTGCTCCACTATTCTGAGGACACAGAGTTCTTATAAGGACCACAAGGCCTGAGTGGAAGGTTTCACAGGGGACACTCACCACGTTCTTGTAGAAGTAGTACACTACCATCCTGGCCAGGCGCGAGTAACACCAGTGGCCGTGCACGAGCAGCAGCTTCTTGAGGTGGCTGAATCGGGCAATGGCAAAGTCGCTGGACATGACGGCCTAGGAGGGAAGAACGGAGACATCAGTTTTCACACACAACCATCGCTGACCCCAAAGATGCTCCCTTGAGGACAATGCTTTCTTCTGGGTCTGCAGCATTCAAGGCTTGAATGATCCCTTATCGTGTCAACATTCTTGGGAGGCACTTTGGGTTCAGACATCCCTCCCTCTCTTCTTGGAAGCTGAAATATTACCAGAATCCAAGAAGGGCAAGTGAGAGGGACCAATACTCCACTTGGCCCCGCATTTCTGTCCATTTATGTAATAATCATTCATTAAAGCCCAGTGTCAGTATCTGTTCTAGGGGCAAACCAGGAAACTGATCTTCACCAGGTGATTCTCCAATCCCTGAGCACCCTTGGGTATCCCTCAAGCAGGCAATTAGCATGATTTACAGATGACACTGTTGGTTGGGAAGCTCATCTACATGGTGCTAGGATGGACATTTTGTCCTTGGAGTTATTTATAATAAGATACAGTCTAGAGGTCTCTTAAAATGAGGTTTAGATGTTTTGGTTAGAAATCTTGGTATGAAAACTTTTCAGATTACTTCAACTTCTTGAGCCTCAGTTTTACTGTCTGGAAAAGATGATTACCAATCTATAACATATTATTATTATTATTAAAATTCCACATGGTAACACATAAATATGAAGTACCCAACATTGCTGGCATATGGTAACCACCTGAAGGGTAATAATGAACTATGGCTGCCTTTCTTATTCTCAGCACTGAATTTAAGCAGTATCTTCCCTGGTGGTGAGACTATGATCACTGATGGTTCAAACTCACAAAATGGGGTCTGTTTTAGTGGGAAAGAACAGTATCTCACTTTAGTATGCTTGTTCTAAATAGAATTTTTAGAGAATTAGGTACACCATAAAACTGTACAAATTAATTAGTCAATAAAATATTTCCAAACGTCCCAACCTCTGTCACTCCTTATGGAGGTCACAGAAGGATATGTGGAGTCAGAGAAAGCCTTATATGCTGTTCAGCCTTGGACTATAGCTACCATTGTCTCTGTTAAAGGCCACATGTCCTCAGTGTCCCTCTGTTTCTGGGAGGACCAGATGGTAGGACTTTGATGACAGAGGATACAGAGGCATGGAAGACACCCCTGACTGCCAGTTAATAATTTTATGATGCTCAAAGGATGATTTATTCTGCACTGAGGGATATTTCTCAGATCTCCAGGAAAAGTAAAGGAGATCAGCGAAGAAAAAGCAGTTAAGTCATACATTACCTGCATGCCTTCCTGCCCAGATATTCCAATGCCAATGTCAGCAGCTTGAATCATGCTTACGTCATTTGCTCCATCACCTGGAAGGAGAGAGGTCACATTGTGCCTTCATTCTTTGTCCAATTGCTCGGTGATAAGAAATCTCAGAGTGTCCCCATTTGCACAACTGAATCCTTTCAATGTTTTTCTACATATGATAACATTGCTACAATATTTGGTCTGAATGTTGTCTTCTTCTTTTTTAAACTATTCATTTTAATGAATATTTTTTACTGTCCCCTCCCCAGTGGTGATCAAAAGAGTCCTTTACAATTTACAGAAAGGTGTTTGCAAATGTCAGAAAAGATCTTGCTGAAGAGCAAATCAAGACTCTGACCCGTTTTGAGACTTGGTCAGGACAGTCCATCTAGTTAAGGCACTCATACTAGAACTCGGGTCTTTCTGTTCTGATTCAGAGGCTGTTAGAACGTTGATGTGGTATGTTCCCTAAAATGCTTATATGTTCAAGACTTGGTCTCTGGCTGGTGGATCAACTCACTGAGAATTGATCGGGTCACAAGGCCTCTAACTTTATCAGTGGAACCATCTGTTCATGGATTTATAATTTGATGGCATTCTTGGGAGCTGGTAAGAGGTAGGTTCTGGCTGAAGGAATGGGTGACTTGGGGCATGACTTTGAAGGGTGCCTTCTCTCAGGCTCTTTTTTGTCTCTCTTTCAGTTTTTGATTGCCATGAGGTAGCACATCTATTCCACCACACTACCAATATGTTTTATGTGTGTGTGTGTGTGTGTGTGTGTGTATGTGTGTGTGTGCTAGAGCTAGAACAAATGCTACCATGGAGTCACATTCCTAGATCATCCACCATGATGTCCTGCCTCCCACATCAGGAGAATGCAGAGTAGTCAGAAGAGGACTGAAACGGCCCCAAACCATGAGTCAAATAAAAATTCCTTGCTTGAAGCTAGTCAGGCCAGATATTTTATCACAATGACAAATAGGTAACTACTACAAGGTAGAGCTTTCTCTACCTTAGCTTGACTTGAACCAGCTACCATACCAAGATGACTAGAATGCTGGGGTAGCCAGAGCATCAGAGACTGTGCATAACGCCCAAAGTAATGGATGACACTCAGTTTTCTGTATGAATAGAGAAAAAAGAGATCGACTCACTTATTTCTTTGACTGAGATATATTAATCACATTGAATGAATTGAGATTTCATGAAACCAGAGGTAAGGCCATGAAAACACCTTCCCTGCTACACGCCACATGCTCTACCTCCATTAACAGGACTATCAAATATCCTATTTTCTGATGAAGCAGAACCTCTGTGTCTACAACGTCCAGTGCAGAAACTGCTGCCATCTTCTATCTATTGGAATGTGGCGGGTGAAGTTCTATTTAATTAAGAAGCCACATACAGCTCTATACAGAGAGAGCATCCTACAGATCCCAATACTCCTCAATGCTTTATCTTTTAAGCCAGAGCTCAGGAAGCTAAACTCTAATGGATCCAAAAAATATTTTAAACTTTGTAAACCACGAGACGAAGTCAAATAATTGTTGATGGTGAAAGGTTGATAGTTATAAATTTTACATTTAAAAATACAAAATATGTAGTAGTCTGGACCCAGCCTGTAGGCTGTTTTCGTAACGCCTATTATGGACTGTGTTGACTAGATTCCATTCCTGGTCCCAATTTTTGTTTCCTAAAAGCATCTCATATACAAGCTATGATTAAGTTTACATTGTTTATCACAGAAAATATGGAATTGGAGAGGAGAGAGGATAATTTTCCCTTAATTACTTGGCAACAAGTATATTGAGCTTTAAAATGTTCCCATTAATATTGTACCCCATAAATTTATACAAGTATGTATCAATTAAAAATCTCGCATTTGACTTTCTAGGTAGACTTTGTTGTTATAAAAAGCATTCTTTTCTCAATAGCTCAGCAGTCCATAATTTTAATCCTTTGGAAGGCAGAATAAATCTCAGCTTTAACTTCCGTTGGCACACCAGGAGAAGCAGAGGTGTGGAATCATGCTATTTCTTGCCTGGTTGGGTTTGTTTCTGTTTTCTGTGGGAGTGACACCGACCTCTAACCTCAGAGAATATAGGCTGGGCTATTGCCTATGGTATATCTGAATTATGGAAGAGGACAACTCATAGCATTAAAGTAGGGATGGAGTTGCTAGGCATCTGTTCTTTTCATTTTCTGAGGTAGGATCTTATATATCCCAGCCTGGCCTAGAGTTCTCCGTGTAGGTGAGAATGATCTTGAATTTTGGGTCTTCCTTGCCTCTGCCTCCTAAACACTGGGATTATAGGCATGTGCCACAGTGCCTGGTCCTCTAGTTTTTAAATTCAGTTTTTATATTGCATGTGAAGACTGGGGGAAGGACATATTTTCCAGATGTCTAGAAGACCAGATAAAGAAGAGAGGCTAGAACCATCTGTAGAAATGTCCCTAAGTACAGTAGTTTAGTCTGTGAGGGTTACCTCTCAGGACCACCAGTGTGTGTATGAAATCATGGAGAGTAGTAGACTTTACAGACTATCTTTTGTATACATATGTAATAATAATAAATTTTAATCCATAAATTATGACTAATAAAACGTTAAAAATAACTAACATATAATATGATAGTAAATTAAAATAATATACCTTAATAGTTATTTAAACTCATCAATGTTCATTTCTTTTAGGCCCAAAGTCAACTAAAATTACAGAAAACGAGACCTGGATGTGTGGGGATTGAGGGATGAGGAGGGAGTGACTCTACTTACTACATGTATGGAATGTGCTGATCATGAGATCAAGTAGGGAAGGAAACAGACTTCAGGAATTTGTGAGATATTGCAGAGGTGGTCACAGAAGGGACAAAAGATAGTGGGCTTAAATGAGAATCCCAGAAAAGGGGAAGATAGGTAAGAGGTGAGGAGAATGGCAAGTGATTTAATTTGGAGGGAACATGAAGAGCCCTGTGCTGAGGAATGAAAGGTGACCACAATAGGAGACACTGTCCGAGAGTTAGTGGAGACCAGATCATGAAGATCCTTGTAAAATAGGCTTGTTGTGCCTGTGAGGTACTCAGCGAAAAGTTTTTATTTCTGTGCTTCGACCTTATTAGTTCATGCCTCTCTGAGTAATTTAGCATCAATCAACCAGGATAGATTAAGAATATGCATTGTGCTGGCCTTTGATTTAGAGACTAGCAAAATTAAAAGCTCACCTAAGGTTTTGAAATCTCCCTCCAAGTCCCCTATCCTCAGAAGAATAGCAAATTCTTAGCTACCATAGGTATTACCATGGGTAAATTCATTCTGGAAGGGCACTGGATGGTATCTCCTAGTAGTGCTCTTTTCATTGTCTATTTATGGTAGAAACATTTTTAAAAAAACTACATTCATGTTTTGAGTTCAAGGCCCTTGTTGGCAGTGACTTCCCTATTAAGATCTGATCTTTATTTAGCTAACTGGCCAGTTCTAAGAGCTTGATCATTGCTTAAATATTGTGTTCCCCGTTTTATCACCTAACAGCTACATCTTGACTGTGATTTTTATCAAAGACAATGGCCCTCAGCCTAAGCTTGTTGGCTTTCACAGCTGGTCCAGGTCATCATCCCTGCCAAGATACCACCCACATCCCAGCACGCTGGGTACCTATGGAAAGAGTCATGACGCTCAACTTGTCTCGCACCAGCTTGACAATCATACTCTTCTGGAGGGGGGTGGAGCGGCAACACAGGACAGATCGACAATACCGCGTCAACTCCAAAAACTTATCTTCCAGCTTCCCCTGGAAAATTGCATTCAATGTCTTCCCATCAATGACTAGTCCAACGTCAGGAGTCATAGCTCTTGAGTTAGCCGATGGCATCTTAGATGGTGTGCGGCACCCACAGAGTTTTCGGGCTGGCTGTTGTGGTTCACGAAACCTCTTTACATCCTCCAATGCACAGTTGAGGATGGACTCACAGGTCTCCTGCAGAGAGTCATAAAATACAGCATTAGTAAACAACCTTGTACATTAAAGCTTTATCTTTATTTTCAGTAATTATAAAACTCCACCGTATAGGTTGCTTAGGAAGTTTTCTCTAAGCTCGCTGTACATATCTCTGCAGTATTTGAAGCAGCATTAAACTGTACTAATTTAGAAACAAAGTAATGGCTGGAATAGGAGAAGATGATCAAGAATAAAGTAAAAGTTGCACAGCAAGATGGCACCTGAGTTGAGGTGGGTATAAAGTAAAAATCAACACTAATATGTTGGTAGATACTGTTAATATCTCCTACTGTTATATAAGCTGGTTTCCAACTCTTATAGGCCTCCCCTGTTGGCCCTTTTTATTCCTGGTAAAGATTTAGAGGTGAGGAGATTGAAACGGTGAGTAACTTAGTAACTTACTCAATGTCAACTTCACATAGCAGTGAGGCATGATCTTGACTTCTTCAAACGTGGCTTTCTTACTTAAAAAGCAAACCACCACACTGTGTTTATCTCTTGGTCTATTCCACAGGGGTCTCAAGGGCTGTGCTTTGAAGTGTTTTTCATGTTGGTCTGAACTGACCATGGATGTGAGTTCTTACTGGTTCAAAGAATGTTCTCTGTGAATTTCATTTCTGTTTTTTTAAGATGGCCTTTTGATGCAGCCCAGGTTGGCCTTGAACTCGCGATCCCTTTTCAAGTACTGTGACTAAAGGTGTACCACTATCACGCTAGTTATATGATTTTTCAAATGATGCTTACTTTGAAATACAGAGAGGAAGTAGTTTTTAATTAACAGTCCTTTCTACTGCTTTGAATTATATCACTGACAAAATCATATCTTGGTACTGATTATTCTTCTGCTATCTCTTCAACTCTTATAAACATTGCTTTTTAAATAAAGCTTGGGAAAACAGAAGATAATAGTATAAATAACTTTAATAACATGTTGTACTCAGATGGACTGTATTTTCCATTTGCAAGTGTGGCATGCATGCGTTTGGGTACGGAGGTTTACATATGTTTTGTTGAATATGTAGGTACGCATGTGTGCATGTGTGTATGAAGGTGTCTTGTGCATGTGGAAGAGAGAGTTGGATGTTGGGTGCCTGCCTTGGTCATGCTCCACTTTACGGAGGCAGGGTTTCTTGCTAAATCTAGAACTGTCAACTTGGCTGGTCTATCTAGTCAGCTTGCCCTGGGTCATTCTAAGTGCTGGGATAACAGGCAGGCACCATGCCTACTTGATGTGTGGATGCCAGAGATATGAACTCAGCCTATTCTTGTGCCATAGTACCTTACTCTTTGAGCCATCCCCTAAGCCCTATTAGGCTCATTTATCCGTGGTCAAGGACAATACTTCTTTATTAGTCAAGATGCTAAAAGTCTATTCTAAAAGTGAATATGAGTTAATTTAAATGAAATCATTAAGAGCCATAGTTGAGGTAACAGATAAATTTGGGTAGGTTTTGCAAAGGTTCTCCTGAAGTGACAGATTTGGAGAAACTTGGTCTAGTAATTCTGTCTAGCAATCACTGGAGCGATTCCTGGAGCAAATCCAGCTCATTTTCCCTGGTCCTCCACTAGGAGATGCTAAATTACTTGTTGCACACAGTAGGATGTGCACATAACTTGAAGGGGGGGTAGTGGGCAAAGGAACTGGTTCTGGGTATAAGGTTTTACAGGAACATTTATCTTAGAAAGATAATGGGGTGATTCTTGCTAGATATTGGCCTTGGTTCCAATTACATAAATTCTTCTGGTACTGGTTCACACAGGCACTGGAGTTGTAAAGTTCACAGTTTAACCTTGAACCTGCTTATTTCCAGATTATAATCATAATGGTTCTAGTCACTGAACATTTAATGTTTGATCAGGAACCTACAGTAAACAGTGCTTGGAGGGATTCCTTCTAGGCATGGTGATCTACACCTAATGAGTTCCTTCTGAGGAAGAGAACAAAACACCACCACCACCACCACCACCACCACCACCACCACCACCAAAACAATGGGGTGTAACTTCTCCAAGTAGGTTATACAAGTTGGGCTTCTACTGTAGAGCACTTTCTCACTCTCTCCAGTGGCTTGCCTTGGGAGAAACCAGTTGCTATGCTGTGTAGCAGCCCGGGAACAAAACCCAGAGGACCAAGAGTTGAGATCTAGTAACAGCTGTGAGGTTCAGCTGGTAAGCAGCGTCCCTTCCGGTCTGCAGATCCTTCCCAGTGGAATCAGTATTTGGCTTCAGATCTCCGGAAAGGTGATTCATCACCTCACGGATACCTTCATCCACAGGCCCCAGCCCAGAAACCCTTAGGTTTCTAACACAGACCATGGGATCATAGAGGTCTGCTGTGACTGCTAAGCTTTGGGGCTAACTTGTCATACAGTAATGGCTAACACATGTAGGGACTAAGTAAGTACTTTCCCTCTGGTCTTATTTAATTTGTCCAGCAATCTGTAAAATAAGTATTTTTTAATCCCTGCTTTACAACTGAGAGGAAGCAAGAGAAGAAGTATGCTATTTGGAGCATATGAAGCCCTAAAGGGTTGTCAATAAGAACAATAAAAATTATTGTTACTATTAGTTTCATTTGAAATGCATTTCTACTCATGGAATAGTAAGTCCCTCATTATGTATATGCGAACCTAGGGTTCTGGGCAGGCTCCATAAAACTTGTTTATTGCTTTAAGATATATATATATATATATATATATATATATATATATATATATATATACAAAAGAGATACTAGATGCAAATATGTTTATAGTTAGTGAGGCAAATTAAAAACCTTGGAGAAAATACTCAACGAATAGGTAATTATATTAAACTGGGGTTTAAATAAGTCTGAGATTTAGAGTGTATATTCCCATGTTCTGGTTGAACATATTTGCATGTCTACTATGACTCCCAGGGAAAAGGCGGAGAAAGACTAATCTTATCGGATTAGCGGGATCCTGGGAAGTAGACAGGTATCTATACATATTCAATGCATCTTTCTTCATGGTATAAAAACCAAATAGAAATCTTCCTAAACTTTTATTCTAGGGTCTAGATGAGCTAGCGAGAGGCCTAAATTCTCTCCCTCCCTCTCTCCCTCTCTCTCTCTCTGGTGGCTTCCAACTCACGCCTCCCACAGGCTATCCTTGGTTGCTAGGTCCCTTTCTTCAGCACCCCCGGGTACAAGTGCTCCTCTTGTCTCCACGGACTCTTGCCCCTGCTCCCTCTCATTGGTACATCTCAGCACTCACTTTCCAGACCCCTCACTTCACTTTCTACATCTGCAGCAGGAAAACAGAAACTGCCTTCCTAACGCAAATGCGCACAATAAACAGGAAGGCACTTTGTTAGAAGTCACATGGCGTACTCCCAATTCCCTTGCTCTTTGCAAACCACAACGTACTCCAGGTGGAAATGACTGTTTTAGGACTTTGTTCCTCTCCCTCTCCTTCTCTCTCTCTCCCTCTCTCTTTCTCCCTCTCCCCCCTCCCCCTCCTCCTCCCCCCCTCTCCCCTAACCCATCAAAAGCACCAGCTGAACTCATTACCCCCTTAGAGTTCTGCTCTATGACACACAGATTGGTGCTGAAAATTTAAACTCTAAATATTTTCAGTTGAAGTGGGGCTTTTCAAAGGCGGGTTAATCTTAACTGACAAGACATTGACAAAAAAACTGAGTTAATGGTGTGGTATATGTGACTCACACTAGCCTGGCAAGAGAGCAGAATTCTAGACTCAGGGTTTCCTAGACTAGTAGGGGGAAGCTGTTGGGCAAGAGAACGAGCCTGGTGGCTTTCAGTGTCCTTACCTGTAAAGTAGGAAGACTAGAAGTTTCTGATAAGCAGCTGCAGCCAAATAACCAGTTAGCTATGATATATGTGGATGGGTTATTGCGTATGGGGCTGAATGTTTTCTGGATCCTTCCTTGGATCTTCTAGATCCAGGATCCAGAGAGTTGGCTGAGGGGCTGCTGTGTATTTGAACATTGAGTCCCTTTTTGGCCTTACCTGATTCTCTGTGTTAATGGAGTACACGGTGTCAGTCTGATCCAGCAGTTTGCAGGAATATGCGATATTGACTGCAGTCTCCTGTTTATCTCCTGTCAAAACCCAGAGCTGGATTCCAGCCTCCCGTAGTGCAGCGATGGTGTCTGGAACTCCTTCCTGGAGTCGGTCCTCAATCCCAGTGGCTCCTGGAAAGTTCAAAGACGGTTGGGAGCTCAGTTACGGTAAATACACGGCTACTTACTTTCTCAAAGCACTACATAGCCAATCAGTTTTTGTCAAGTATCTCTTTGTATTAGTCTGTGTACCCAGGATAGATACAGCCACGAGCTGGATAAAGATGATCACTATGCTGACTAATTTTACATCATCTTGACATAATCTAAAGTCATTTGAGAGAAGGGAACCCCGTCTGAGAAAATGCTTCCAAAAGACTGGGTTGTAGGTAGGCCTGTATAGCATTTTTTTTTTTAATTAGTGATAAATATGGGAGGGCCCACCACCTATGGGTGGCGCCATCCCGGGGCTGCTGTTCCTGGGTTCTATAAAAAGGTGGGCTGAACAACCATGGAAAACAAACCAGTAAGCAGCTCCTCTCCATGGTCTCTGCATTGGTTTCTGCCTCTAGGGTCCTGTCCTGACTCCCTTCGGGGAAGAGCAGTTATGTGAAAACATAAGCCAAACAAACCTATTCTTCCCCAACTTGCTTCTGGTCATTGTGTTTCACCACAGCAACAGTGACCCTAACTAGGACAACTGGTACCTGCCCGGAACTCAAGTCCTTGGATGAAGGTTTGTAATTGAGCTACATGGTGAGGTGAGTGGACACTGAGCTTCACCTCGAAAGTCAAGGGAGATTTTGCTGCTGAAAGACCACTTTGGTTCAGCCCTAGAAGGTCAGTCACCGAGGTGAAGGCAGAGGAGTCTACATATGCACCAGCCTGGAGTTTCGAGTAGATGACTAAGGTAGGAGGCAGAGGGAGTGTGAGAGGGAGGGGGAGGGGCTTCTTGGTCATAGCAGGGCCTCGGTGTCAGTGTCTGATTTCTTCTGCAGCAAAGAAAGCTATTCAAAAGTGTAAGTTAGGAAGGGGCGGGATGAGGTTTGCATTTTCAGATCATTCTGGAGAGTGGATGGGAGATGGGAGAGGCTGGATGAGAGGTTCTTAGAGGCTGGGAAAGAGTGCAGAGACCTGGTGGTGGCCTATAGGACACAGGCCAATGGGTGTGGAAGAGATGGGGCAGGAACCTTTGCTCTGCAGCGGAACACAGCAGATGTAGTGGGGACTCAGTGTTTTTTTTTTTTTGTTTTTTTTTTGCTACTATTCTTGGAGAGAATTAGACATGCAGGTGCCATCATTTGTGGATGTTCTCAATCTTTGCCTCAACTCTGATAAATTCATACCCAGATATTAAAGAGTTGCTAAGTGCTTAAGCAAAACTCCACCTGCATTTAAAATAGGATTCATTTCAGGCCGTAGACGAATGGCTAACCATTTCACTTAGAGTTGAAGCCACGGCTTTGTTTTGTCGAATAATCAAGAGTGGCTAAAAAGTTGGCAAAGCAGTTACATTGGCTACCTATTGAGAAATCAGCTCATGTTTTGAGACATAGTGTGAAGGCCAGGGAACATTTTTGATGATCACAGGAAATCTGCCACCAAGTCACATTTCTCAGCCACCTTGAGGTGACAAAAAAGGCCCGTCTCTCGTCAAAGGTGCCTGTTTTGTATTTCAGATACAAATATACAGGCAAACAACTCGATGAACAGGAACAGGGATGACTTAAGTATCATCTCTGTGAGGTTTAGCCTGCTAGGTGAGCTGCTGAAGTTGATTTATAGCACAGCGAGGCTGTGTGAGGGAGGGATGAGGAAAGACACATTTATTTGTGTGAAAGGGAAAATGAAAGGGAAAGACCGCAAATGCCTCTTCCAGGAAGGGGAGCTGACTAACTCCCGTGAGTGACTTCCTCGCCAGATCCAGCTGATGAACGTTTTCTGCAGCCGAGATGTGTTGCCACCTTGAAGCTAAAGACGTGTCCAGGATGTGAAAGAGTGGCGGGAATCCCACATGGGATGGCTGCCTGAAGCCTTGCCTGGCAGGTAGAAAATTCTGGACTAGCTACCTTTTGGTTCTTTTTTTTTTTTTTTTACCTTTTGGTTCTTGTAAGAACAATTCCTACATCCAGCTTTAGAAGTGTGTAGGGCTCACGAGGCAACATGTACAGGCTTCTGCAGCCAGGACAAAGAACAAGAGGCTGAAAGTGCCAGAGAGTAAGAATCTCTTCTTCTGTTTGAAGGCTCTTCAACTAATCTTGCTGCTACCCTTTAGATGTGAAGGCTTCACCATCTTATAGCAATGAAAGATGGTTTACGGCTCGATGGCCAGTGCACATCCCTGATTCTTTCTTGCATGTCTCTCTAGAGGGGGTTGGGAAAGATCCCCTGTACCCAAATCCCTTCCTGCTGCTGTTTTTCCACCCCAGCGACCTCAGAGGGATTAAGACATAGGCATCTTTCCCCAGGCAGGAGATTCATCTTCCTAAGCAAAGCTTCCAAATTTCAGCTTGCGATGCTATTCTTCCTACAGACATCCAGTCCAACTCTGACCCAGCCTCAGCACTTCTCATCTTCTTCCTTATTTATCCATCTACTCCATATATGCTGGTAGCTCTGGTGATTTTTCTAAGGTACCCTGTAAAGGTTTAGCATATGATTTACATGGCACATCATAAATTGGCCTCTTCTGGCCTCTTTTACCTCCTGTCAGTTCTCCGCTGTATTCTGTGGTCCAGCTAAAACCGATCTCTGTATTTTCCTCTCCTCAGACCTCACTTCCTGCCTTTCATTTAGCCCCTTCATTCTGTCTTGAATGCCCTTCTCTTTTCCTGAGTAGCATATCATTGTTTCCAATTAGCAGCCTTCCCAGACCCTCTTTGATCCCAGTGTGAGGTTGAAACCTCCTATTTCACATTTGTCTTCCATCTCTAAATCTTCTGGCCCAGATCTTGTCACTGGCTGGTGATGACATGACTTGCCTAACCTTGTCGGCTAGATTCTGGACTGTGGGAAGGTGGAGGTGTGGTCAGCATTTCTCGCCGGAGCTGTAAAGCCTAGCATGCTACACGGTGCACATAGTAGGCATGCAACAAACATTTGAATATGAAAAGGAGTTTGCTGTTGAGGAAGAAGCCAAACCCATAAGCTTCTTCCAGTAGGAAGTCTGGGAAGGCTCTCAGGATATCCCCAGGAAGCCAGGCTGGTTGCAGGCGTATCCCAATTATGCCAAATACCTGCAGACACCCAGAGATGGCTCTTAATTGGGGCCAAATTGTAGCAGTATCTGAGTCCTGACTAAGAGCTCCTTTCCTAATGTTTAGCCTTCCCCTTTCTTTCTTTCTAATGTAGCGACGCCTTATTTTCAGCTACCGAGTAGGGTGAGGTGGTTCTCCAGGTGCTGGGCTGTCTCCATCAGGAGCTCCTCTCTGTTGTCCAGGGATGCCTCTGCCTCCCGCCGGAAACTGGCCCACCTCTGGAAGTCCTCTTCATTTACAACCTATGAAACAGGAAGAGAATTATTAGTAACCTTGAGTGGATATGCAAATGGAGCCCTCCTTCTTCCTGAGGTGCTGGGACTCCTGCATGCTGCGTTGAACCTCACAGAATTGGGGGCAGAATTCTCCATCATGACATTTTGAATGCATACATTGATGAAAGATTAATCCTTGTGTTCCATGACCACCAAACATCTGCTGAGACCCTAAAGGCTCTGGAGATGAACGACAAAGGCAAGATCTCAGGATGGCCAGGTTATATGCTGGTGGAGGGTGAGATATTTTAGTCAGGTAAGGATTTAAATGGATAGATCATTTCAAGGAGTATCATCCAGGCAACAAAAAGGATGATGCTATAGAGTCTGTTGGGGTTGTGGGCTCCTGTTGGATAGTAAGGTTTTCTTGACAGGGAGCATGCAAGGTAAGACGCAAGCAATCTATGCGATGGTAGAGAGCCTGTGCCCGGAATATTGGACAACATAAGTTAGAGCTGATGGGTTATTATATAACAAAAGAGGATGTAGCATTTTTTGGGGGTAGGGAGATAGGACAGTTTCTGGAGAAGCTAAGGTGACGAGTTGGGGGTGTGTGAATATGATCAAAATACACTCTTTGAAATGCTCAAGAAATCAATAAAAAATATTTTAAAAGGAACAAATCCTGGGAATCACAAGGAGGAACAAGTGCAAAGGCTATGGCCTTGATCCCATTCCTGATTGGTTAATGTAAAAACTGATGGAGGAGGCCAGCAAAATGGAAGGGTCAGACACGAGGCTGGAAAGGTAACCATAGCAATATTTTCCACAGCTCGTAGAATCCATCAGGCATGCTGTCTTTCTCCTTTGGAGGGCCATGACACTTTTGAACCACCATGTTTATATGTCTGCATTCTCTTTTATGAATAATTCTTTTACATAAGCACCAAATATTCACCGAGTCCCTCTGTATGGCACTATAGGGAAAATCAAGAGACACATGTCTTGTTTGCTTGTTTGTTTTGAGACAGGCTCTCAGGAAGTAGCCTCGGCTGGCTTGGAATTCATAGAGATCTATTGTCCTGAGTGCTAGGATTAAAGGCATGCACCACTCAGCCTGACCATAGGAAGGTCTTCTACATTTGAGAAATGTACAGTCTATAACAGAAGACAAAATAGAGACTTATGGAAAGCAGACAATGGTAAGACTATAATGATAGTACCTAGAGGACATTATAAGCTGTTGTCCAAAGACATTTCAGAAGGTGGTGAGATGGGCACCAGATGGCTGGTTTTAAAGTGAGTACGTTTAATCTCTGTTCTGTACTAAGCAACTTGAACTATATGAGCATCCCTGGGAGTGTGAAGAGGAGAAACTACTTGTAGGTACCTTGAAATATGCATCATGGGGTTCCTACTAGACAGCACACACCTCATCAGATGACCTGGCTCTGTAGTTCAAAGGCCCCTGTTTCCCAGGGCCTGCAAAGTCAAGTATCTGAGAGCAAGAGTGGGTAACCTTTATGGCTACATCTGGGGGCAAGAGTAAAACAATGGCTAGTGATGGGGACTGGAGGCAAGAGCAGAACAGCAGAATGCATCCCCGTGGCCCTCATCACAAAGATCAGCTGCTACATAGTTATATGGATCTGTGTGGTTCCATGGAGACTCAGATTCTCAACAGAAACCAGAAAGCTAGAGTTTTTCATGTGAACACACAAACACACACTCCACACACACACACACACCATCCCCACATACACACACTATACATACCACTCCCACAATACACCTCATACCACATACACCACATACACACATATTCACACCACACACATACTACACACACACACCACATACACACATATTCACACCACACACATACTACACACACACACACACACACACACACACACACACACACACACACATCTGGAGCATGCTCGCAGGGATCTAACCTTACCTTCTTAGCAATGCACAGGGTTCGAAGGCCATCTCTTGCATACAAGTCCAGATGTTTTTGGGTCCGGGCTTGGATTCTTTTCAGCTTCTTCTCCACATCAATATCACTCACTGTCAAAGAGTTATCGTTTCCCATGAAGCCATGGACCACTGTTCAGGGAGCTTTGCCCTCAACTCCCTAGAACCTTCCCGGGTCACCACACCAGCCTTAAGGGAGGAGCTCTCCCTTCCCAGCCCTCCCTAGGAGTTCTTGTGATGACAGGCTGCCCTGGAGAATGATCATTTTAAGAGTCCCTACACTGTCTGCTCCTTATGTTTTTTTCTTCAAAAGCCTGGCCAGGAAAAGGGCTATTTAAGGAAGGGAGGTGATCTAAGGAATTGTCCAATACATCTCCTTAAAGGAGAACTACCTACAGAGTTAAAACAAAGCCATCCGTAAGGAGAGGGCCAGGGGCTGGGAGTTTCAGTCTTCCTTGTTATCCAAGGTGTGATTTTAGTTGCCCATCTTGCCTGCAGAGCCAACCAACTTTGCAAACTGTTTTCTGGCAACTCAGACAATCCATCATCCTTTCTGTCATCTACTTTAATTCTTGTCAAGCTCAGCCTCAAGACAGCTGCAAACCTGGATCTCATTAGCGGGGTTCTTCAGCACATTCGCTTTGCTGACTTAGGCTTTCTCTCAATATGAGGGACGGTGTTAGAAGAAAAAAAAATAGCTTTTGCATTTTCTGTAACTTTAGGGTAAAAAAAAAAAATACCTCGATGCCTTTTCAAAGTCCCCGTGTTAAAGTTTCACATAGCGCATTTATTCCTGAAGTCATTTGTATTTTTTTCTCTATTAGACAGGAAGAGTATTTTCAGGCTGTGCTAGTTCGGGAGGGACAGGACCGATGACAGGCCTCACTCATCTACCACAGCACTGTAAATCTGAGCAATGCAGCCTCCAGAATCCCTTACTCCTGCTGGACAGAGGTTTTAAGGGGATCCTGGGTAGTGAAGAGAATTTGAACACCTCACTTCTTCCTTTGTACAATGCAAAGGTAAAAACGTAATTTAACAGTGATCTCCACTAAGTATAAGGAAGTCCAATCAGTCTATTTCATACAGTATAAACATCCTTTCAAATAATATTGCCTCATTGTTCACCATAGCACGGTCTTAAAGCATAGTTGAACACTATTTACAATGTTTTATCTTCAAAAACATCCTTTTTGAAGCTCACCACCTGTGAGTCCCTGGGTTTTTTCATCCCCCAGGTTGCTAGGAACCTCAGAGTCCAACTGAATACTCAAACATCCCAAGTACACTACACTTGATGTGGTTTTGCCTCTCCCTTTCAAAGCTTCGCTTCTTTCTTAATGCAGTAACATTGACTGTGTTTTTTTATTGGCAGGATCCCCAACCATTTTGCAATCAACTGAGGAAGGAATAAACAAACATCTCCAGGATAGCGAGTCTCTGTTGCCCAGAGACAGAGTACTATGGCTTCCTTGACTCAGAAGCCCTGAATTCACTTGTCTGCCAGAGTCTAGGGATGAAGCGAGCTAATTAGCTCCCTTCTCATTCTAAACACTAATCAGTCCCCATGAACCTCTTGGCCGTGATCCACAGCTGATAATGCAGGAGGCTCTGGGCTGCCTGGGCAATTCTGAAGCTTGGCTGGGATCTGCTATCCTGGGAGAATCATAACCCTATCACTGTCTTCTTGTTAGCAACCAGGATATGGCTGCAAAATAATTCACGCTTCTCTGAAATTGGACGCTGACCCGTAGGGACTTTGGAACATTTTCCTGGCTCTGGGCAAGTTTATGAAAATCTATCCCAGTGTGCGGGGGTGGGCACTGGGGAACGCGATAATGAAGAGAGACACTTGAGCGACGGTGGTGTGCTCTACGGTACGACTCCTGGGTGTTTGGGTAGAAAGGCACGGGGTGTGGATATGGATAAAGAATAGCATAATGAGTGTGGAAATCTGAAAACTGGGAAAAGTGGAGGTAAAGTGGTTTCTTCATAAAGTCTTGAATGCACTAATGATCGCCCCAATTCTCTAGGTCAAGGTGATGGAAAATTCAGTGTGTTCTAAGGACTTGTTTTGAGAGTCTTATGGGCCTGGGATTCTCCTGGTACATGCTGGACTTGTAACTCTGACTCTTCCTCACCATTGCACACTACCGCTGGGAATATAGCACCTGTGTCCCTGGGCCTGACAAGGTGGGCGGACTCACCACAGGATGGATCATCTAGCAGGTCCATGATAACGGAGTCAGCACCCTTAGTGTAGACGATGATCTCACCCGTCAGTGGGTGCCTCACCACTACTGACATTCTCTTCCGGACAGAGTCAAATCCCAGGGTGAAGAGGAGCTCAAAGGTGAGGGAGATGCCCTGGGGCAGACGCACAGTCACCTGCTCAGGTGTCCTAGACACCAGGGTGAAACTATAGGCACGGGCCGCGTGCACCAGAGCTGCCTCGTCAGGGCTCTCGGCCTCATAACAGAGCTCCGGTTCATCTAGGTTGAGAGCTGGGGCCTCCAGCCCCTCCTCCAGAGAAGCCCCTGACCCGGACCCCAGGGTGTCACCCTGCTCCCAAGTGCTGCTCCTGTAGCCACCATCCGTGGAGCAGTCTCCACTACACACAGATACGTCATCTTTGTCGTCTGAGTCTGTGGTGGGCATGTTGGGTCCCAGGCTTTCTCCTAGATCAGGGTCAGAGGGGGCGGTGGAGGAGAACGACTGGCTGAGGCTCAAAATCTTCAGCCTCTGGAACAGATGTTGGATCTTTTCCAAGGATGAACCCAGAGCCTTGTTGGAGGGCGGAGTCGTAACCTGTGATTGTATGAGGAAAGGACAATGTCACTCTGAGCACTCTGGATGTCTTTCACAGAATATGAAGGCCATTTTGAAATCAGTGGATCACTTGGGTCTTCTGCAGTCAGAGACAAGACCCATGTGTTCTGTGAACCTCAGCCTACCCACTCGTAGAAAGAGGGTGATAACTCAGATGGGTCCTTCTAGGCCTGACGTTCTAGGTATGGCCAGTGCTCACAGTCCCCTAGTTTCTGAGCATCCCCTATGGTCATGCTGGAAAGAATTAAAGGAGATTAAAATGAGACACTCAAGAGTACACACTCTCTCACAGATTGTTGTATGGTGAGCTGCTTTCTGTTCGTGTGAATTGTCACCTTCAATCTTCCCTGAAGTTCGAAGGGCTACCATCAGTATGGGTGTGGAACCCAGGCACCCAGAGGATGGATAAGTTTGCCATAATAGCCCAGTGTCTTGGTAATAGAGCCGAGACTCTGAGTCCGGGTCCAGTCATTCCCTTGGAGCTATGTGCTAGAAGAAGCCTTCTCATTAGCTTGAAAATTGAAGTTGGATGCTAGCTTTTCCAAAATAGTTCTTCTCAAAAATAGCTACTTGTTCAGATAATGCTTCCTGTCTCCTATGTGTCACTGAAAATGCTTGATCAGGAGGTGATGTTTCTGAGTGGTTTGAAACTTGGGCATAATGAGAGGAAGGTATAGTATATTGACTCCTGTTTTCTTGGTTTTATAATCACAAGTTACACCAAATCATAATCCCTATCAGTGACTTGTAGGATGGGTCTGTGGATTACTGAAGACCCAACTACCCTTGGTAGATTTATTATTTAACTCCATATAGATGACCACATGCCCTTATTATTTCTAAGAAAAGAACCTAACCCACAAGCTAATTAATTTTAACCCCCATACAGAAATAGATGCAGGTATGATATGGTATTATTAGGAACCATAACAGAGCTACACAGATAGTTCTATATTAATCATACCTCCTTAGGTAGCAAAACCTCCGACTCTGCTAGTTAAATCCAAAAATATCCCACACTACGTTTCAGGGTGGTAAGGATTAGAAGTTATGTAGGTAAAGTATTTAGCATGGGACCTGGCACACAGCTAACAACTCAATAAATATTTGCTCATTATCTGCCTTACATGTGATAGGTTGGAAGTCACACAAACAACTGGTGTGTAACTTTCCCCCTTTAATTAACAAAGAGGGGAACGGACCTAGGAAGATCACATGGCTGATCTGGGTTTCGCAGAGGTGGGCTGATGACGCGTGGTTGGCACCGAAGGGTCATGTCTTTTGGAATCAAGGGTTTTTGTTTTCCTATTTGCCTTTCCACTTTTCTCTTTCCCTTGCCCCCATTCCCAACCATCATCTGTTCTTACCCTTTTCCTGGGCTCAGTGGTCGTGGACACCATGACAGAGTTGCAGATAGTCAGGGCAAGGAAGAAGTCAGCGATGGAAGCCGTGGTGGAATGGGAAGGCTGGGCAAGTCTGCTGTCGGAGGTCTCCAGCCACAGGGCAGCCTCCTTCACCTTGCTCAGGAGATTTTTATCTGGAGTCACATCTTTTTCCTGGAAGGAAAAAAGCCCAAGTGAGATCTTTTCCTGGAAGGACTGGGAAGGGAGGTCTTTCCCAGCAGGCTCTGCATGTCTAGGATAGTGATAACTCCATCTTCCCTGATGTCTTGCGTCCAACACATTCCTCCCTTCCACTGGGTGCATCATTGCTCATGTTTTTATTCCAGTCCTCACTGTTAATCAGCTCCATGGAACCCTCAGCTGCCAGGCATTTCTTCCTATCTAGCATCTCCTCCGACTTGTCCCTATTCCTCTTGTGTCAAGTCTGGCTTGGATCCTTCAACTCTCAACTTTGTATTTTATGCACCCACTTTAGACCAGTATCCCCACCTTTCTGCTCTTCTTTTCACTCTTCACGTGCACATCCACCCACCTAAGGCAACACTTTCTTCCTGCAACTTTTGACTTGCACAAAGATCTCTAGATCTCCGCTGCTCACATCATCAGCTCCTCCTGCATCTACATTCTTTCTCACGCACATCTCCAGGACTTTCTCTCAGCAGACCCTAGGGGTTCCTATTGCATTCCGGACACACAGTTTCCTTCTGTGCCTCTGGTCACACCTGTTCGATTAAGAATCCTCTCCTACCTATCAGAGCCCCTCCTAGATCGTAAAGCCCACAGAAGTGCCACCCTGTCCATTGGAGTTTCTCTAACTCACAAAGAACTCTCCCAAACCACAAAAGCAAGTTCTACGCTGGGACTGCCCACAGGTACCAAGCACGTAAGGAGAGTTAGGGAAGTAGGCCAAGGCACAGCTGAGGTCATTATTTGATGGAAGGTGCTGTTGACCTGGCAAGCCACACTAAGTAGTGCTGCCAGCTTTGCTTAGCAAATGCTCCCAGGCTGGCTCCTTTGCCAAGAATCCTGACTCTTCGAGAGAGAGTAGAAATGATAAGTGACCTGTTTTTTATTTTTCTTTCTTTTTTTTTTTTACTTTCATAGCTGATGCTGATCCACAACTTCTCAATTTTTCATAATTTTTTTGGTCAAACTTTCCATTTGGTCTGTCACTCTGAAATATGGGCCATCCATCTTCTCTGCATTTGAATATTGTGCTTCTAAAAGTAGCTCACATTTATGAAGTGTCTTCTACCTCCCCAAGTCTAGGACCCCACAGATTGTCCCAGGTCTATGTTGAGATGAATGTAATCCAGTCTTAACAAAAGCCCGGAGATGTGGACTGATTTGATCACTGGTTCTTAGCAAAACAGGGTGAAGCCCAAATCTCAGATCCTTGTATAAAAGGTGCAGCATCTTCCATCCAGGGCCTGTGGCACAGGGGTTTCATTAGTACTCCTTCCAAAGTTCTGTAGCCAGAGTAGCCAACACCACCCAAATGCAAAGCCCATTTCTCATAATAACGAGAGCTCCTATCCATGTAGTGTTTCATAAGTTCCCTGTATAGCTGCCATCTCAATGTACCCCTCTTATTAGTATTGATATTGTCTGGGTGCTGTTATCTCTGAATTTTAAAAGAGAAAACTCATGCCTAGAAAAATTTAGTGCCTCACCTAAAGAGGGAAATATTTAGTATTTCCTTAGTTGGTTTTTGGTAGTTTAACTCTAAATTATACTCCCCCCACCCCCGAGACAGGGTTTCTCTGTAGCTTTGAAGCCTTGTCCTGGAACTAACTCTTGTAGACCAGGCTGGCCTTGAACTCACAGAGATCCGCCTGCCTCTACCCTCTGAGTGCTAGGATTGGAGGCATGCGCTACCACCGCCCGGCTAGAATATCCCTTTCTTTCACTCCTATACAACATAGTATTTAGTATTTCCTCCATGAGAAGGAAGAGGCCTTTGGGACTTGGTGAAAGTTGGGTAGAGCCTTTAATGTCTGGCATGCCAGATACAAAGACTGGCTTGCCTATCAAACCCCGCATCCTCAGCAGTTTCAGAGACCGTGGAAGTGTTCCTCTTCCTGAAAAAAAATAGATGCTCCACATCATGGGTTGATCACACCTGATTACATAGCCAGAATCGCTTAGCAGGCTCTTGTTTCTTGATTAGGTACTCTCGGGTCTACAAGCGTCGTGAGGATAGTGGCTTGTCTCTGATGTGCTCCCAGTGCCTGCAGGTTATGGACATGCAGAATGTTGCGTGGGCCCTTTCTAGAGCACGTTGCTTTTGTCCATCACTGATGTACTCTTAAAACTCTTTTTTTCCCCCATTTTTATTTAGTTTTTGAGTGTGTGTGAATGTATATGGGTACTGTGAGCAGAGGTCAGAGGACAACTTCTGAAAGTCATTTCTCTCCTTCCGCCATGTGGTTCCCAAGAATTGAACTTAGGCCTTCAGGGTGGGCGGCAGGCAACTTTACCTGCTGCAGCATCTCACTGGCCCCTAACACTTCTTTGTTAAAACTGTTCTTGACTACATTTCCACTTGATCACATGGCAGAGTATTATGAAAGGCATCTGAAGGTGTTGGGAGAAGATGGCAATCAACTTTTGCCTAGTCACTGTATCTGTCTGTCCAGCCAATTTCTTCAGGCTGCTCTGTGCTCTGGACCACTGTTTTTCTGTGTGGTTTGTGAGCATTTGGGAACTTGTCCGTCAAAATACATAGAAAAAGGCAGGTTTTTCCCCAGTGCCTGGCAACTCTGAAAAGAAATAGAATGTATGGCACCCACTTATGGGTGTTTCACGCTAGAGCTCTGTGGTATCTAGGCTCTCAGCTGGTTCCTTCTATTGTTAGTCATCTGAAGCAAACAAATCTTGTGTGAGCTCAGGGCCCACAGGAAGGGATGCTGTTATCTTTAGATTATCTTTGCTGATAACAGATACCTTTGCTAAGTATCCTTATGACAGCTACTGTCACTTTCCATTTTGATTATAAGGTGAAAGAGGCTCATTGAAATAAAATAATTTGTCCAAGGTCTCAAGGCCTGTGCCAGGATCCTGAATCTAGTTCTTGCTGATCTATAAGCCTGGACTCCTAAATGTCTCACGGGTGCTTTCCAAACTGGGTTTGAATTCAGGCCGCCCCAACTGGGTCTGGGCACCTGCATTTTTAACTAGCTCACAGGAAGGGCTTGTGCTGCTGCCTCAAAGAGCAAAGTTTGAACAGCAAAAGTGTGTACTATACAGTAGCCCAATGACTGACTGCCTCTTCTTTTTGACTGGGATATTTTCCCACTCTGAAGTCTGGAAAAGGTAGGCAGCCTCCATTTTGCTATTCTCCTTTCTGGTGTGTGTGTGTGTGTGTGTGTGTGTGTGTGTGTGTGTGTATGCTCACACATGCATATGTGCGGAGGTCAGAGGTCATCCTAGATGATGAGTGTCTTCCTCAATTGCTTTCTACCTTAATTTTTGAGACAGGGCTTTAGCTGAACACAGAGCTCACTGATTGTCTAGGCTGGTTTGAATATGTTTTAAGAAGCTACTCAACTCACACTGTTACTCACTGGGGATGGAAGCTTCCTAATACAGATGCCCATTAAGCCAGTGGTAGACAGACATAGGCGTCTTGGCCCCTTGCTTGCTAGTAACCCCTTTTGTGGCATGGCTCCTCTTGTGATTCCATCTCCCTTACTTCTACAACTTGCACTTTCTTTCCCAGTTGTGGGTGAGCACCTCCAAATGCTCTGCCTTGCTCCCACAGATCTCCTGCAACAGTTTGCCTTCTTTACCTGCTCCTCATTGGATGACGGGCACTGCTTCAATTTCCCTGGTTGTCTTGAGGGCCAATTCAGGTGCTAGCTTCATCAGGAAGCTCTCCAGAAGCTGGAAAGAACATGGCTCTGCCCTCTACTTATCTCTTCTAACACATCTGTACCTACTGTCCCAGTGGTAGTCACTGGTGTCCCACTTGCTCCTTCATTAGGCTGTAAATCCCTGAATCCAGGGACCACTGCCCTATGAGACTTCATATCCCCACTGTCTAGCTATGTATTTTCACCTTGAACAGATGTTAGCTAGTGGGGAAAGATCACCTGACCAAATGAATGAAAAGCTATTTTTTAAAAATGCTGACAGTTACCACAGATATAGTGGACAGAGTAGGGAGGAAGCAGGTTTGCTGCTGGGGGACACAAGAACTGGTATAATGTATTAGAAACAATTAATTGACTAAGGAATGCATCAACACTCCCACTTAGCAATTGCACTCTAAAAATAAATACCTTAAAAAGCGTGCCACACACATGGAAGCTCATGACAGCTCAACTATTCAACAAGTTTCAATAGTCACTAAAAAGAATGAGGTTGCTCTCTACTGAATTTATACATGTGTGCCTGCACATACGAAATATTCTCCAGGATTTGTTGTTATTATTATTTTTTTTTACAAGCAAAGATGGGGCTGGGGAAATGGCTCAGTGGTTAACGTGCTTTCTCTGAAAGTGTGAAGACTGCGGTTCAGGTCCCTAACTCTCATGTAAACACTGGGTAGTCTCAGCAGATAGACAAGGAACCCCCAGAGCAAGCTGCTTAACTAGAGTCGTCATAATGGCGAGCTCTGTGTTTGATTGACAGACCCTACTGCAATGAGTAAGGTAAAAGAGTGATTGAAGAGGATTTCTGACACTGACCTTGGGTCTCCACATGTACATGTACAAACACATAGAGAGACATATGCATGCACAGTCATGTGGACACACACATGTACACCTGCATATGAACACAGGCACACACATGAAAATAGAATAAAGGCAAAGTCCAAAAGTTCTCTGGTCAAAGCACGTGTGTGTGTGTGTGTTCCATAGAGGCTTCTGTGTAGGGGGGTTCCCCTGGAAAGGTTACATAGGCCTCTGGGCAGTGGAATGGAGGACAGTACCAGGTGGCCTTTGATCCCCTTTTAATACATAACCGTATGTTATGCTGGTATTAATAGCATGCAAACAGGCTTTTCTGGTTGCTGGGAACTGAAGGCTGAATTCCTTTTTCAAGGCGGTGTTGTATTTGTCCCAGGGTTTCAATATTGATGATATTTAGTTTGGGTGAAGAACCAGGAAAGCCGAAACATTCACCCAGATTGTTAAAGCAAGCTACAT